AGGGGTAAAGGGACTAACAACCAGGATTAAAAATAGACAGTAGCAGCAGTATACTGTAGGTAGGGGTAAAGGGACTAGACAACAGGATAGATAATAGACAGTAGCGCAGTATACGTAGGTAGGGGAAAATGACTAGACAACAGATGATAATAGACATTTGCAGCAGTATACTGTAGTAGGGGTAAGTGCCAACAACGGAAAAGATAATAGACATAGCAGCGTATACTGTAGGTAGGGGTAAAGTAACTAGGGAACAGGATAGATAAAAACAGTAGCAGCGTATACTGTAGGTAGGGGTAAAGTGACTAGACAACAGATAATAATAGACGTAGCAGCAGTAACTGTAGTATGGGTAAGTGACTAACAAAAGGATAGATAATAGACAGTAGCAGCAGTATACGTAGGTAGGGGTAAAGGGACTAGGCAACAGGATAGATAATAGACAGTAGCAGCAGTATACTGTAGGTAGGGGTAAAGTGACTAGACAACAGGATAGATAATAGACAGTAGCAGCAGTATACGTAGGTAGGGGTAAAGTGACTAGACAACAGGATAGATAATAGACAGTAGGCAGCAGTATACTGTAGGTAGGGGTAAAAGTGACTAGACAACAGGATAGATAATAGACAGTAGCAGCAGTATACTGTAGGGAGGGGTAAAAGTGACTAGACAACAGGATAGATAATAAGACAGTAGCAGCAGTAATACTGTAGGTAGGGGTAAAGTGACTAGGACAACAGATAGATAATAGACAGTAGCCAGCATATACTGTAGGTAGGGGTAAAGTGACTAGACAACAGGATAGATAATAGACAGTAGCAGCAGTATACTGTAGGTAGGGGTAAAGGGACTAGCAACAGGATAGATAATAGACAGTAGCAGCAGTATACTGTAGGTAGGGGTAAGGGACTAGACAACAGGATAATGATAGACAGTAGCAGCAGTATACTGTAGGTAGGGGAAAAGGGGCTAGACACCCGATAGATAATAGACAGTAGCAGCAGTATACTTTTAGGTAGGGGGAAAGTGACTAGACCAACAAGGATAGATAGACAGTAGCAGCGTATCTGTAGGTAGGGTAAAGGGGCTAGACAACAGGGTAGATAATAGACAGTAGCAGCAGTATACTGTAGGTAGGGGTAAAGTGACTAGCACCCGGATAGATAATAGACATAGCAGCAGTATACTGGAGGTAGGGGGAAAGGGCCCAGACAACAGGGTAGTAAGACAGTAAGGGAGCAGTATACTGTAGGTAGGGGGAAAGTGACTAGCAACGGATGATAATAGACAGTAGCAGCAGTATACTGTAGGTAGGGGGAAAGGGACTAGACAAAGGGATAGATAATAGACAGTAGCAGCAGTAAAACTGTAAAGGGAGGGTAAAGTACTAACAACGATAGATAAAGACAGTAGCCAGTATACTGTAGGTAGGGGTAAGTTTCTAGACAAAGGATAGATAATAACCGTAGCAGCAGTAACTGTAGGTAGGGGTAAAGGGACTAGACAACGGATGATAATAGACGTAGCAGCAGTATACTGTAGGTAGGGGTAAGGACTAGCAACAGGATAGATTAATAGACAGTACACAGTATACTGTAGTAGGGGTAAAGGGACTAGACACCCGATAGATAATAGACAGTAGCGCATATACTGTAGGTAGGGGTAAAGGGACTAGGCAAAAGGATAATAATAGACAGTTTCACAGTATACTGTAGGTAGGGGGAAGGGACTAACAACAAAGGGTAAAAATAGACGTACAGCAGTATACTGTAGGTAGGGGTAAAGGACTAACAACAGGATAGATAATAGACAGTAGCAGCCAGTAAAACTGTAGGTAGGGGTAAAGGGACTGACAACAGGATAGATAATAGACAGTAGCAGCAGTATACTGTAGGTAGGGTAAAGGACTAGCAAAAGGATAGATAATAGACATAGCAGCAGTATACTGTAGGTAGGGTAAAGGACTAGACACAGGATAGATAATAGACAGTAGCAGCAGTATACTGTAGGTAGGGGGAAAGGGAACTAGACAACAGGGTGATAATAGACAGTAGACAGTATACTGTAGGTAGGGGTAAAGTGACAGACAACAGGGTAGATATAGACAGTAGCATCAGTATACTGTAGGGAGGGTAAAGTGACTAGCAACAGGGTAGATATAGACAGTAGCACAGTATACTGTAGGGAGGGGTAAAGGGACTAGCAACGATAATAATAGACAGTAGCAGCAGTATACTGTAGGTAGGGGTAAAGTGACTGACAACAGGGTAGATAATAGACAGTAGCAAACAGTATACGTAGTAGGGGTAAAGTGACTAGACAACAGGATAGATAATAGACTAGCAGCAGTATACTGTAGGTAGGGGTAAGTGACTAGACAACAGGATAGATAATAGACAGTAGCAGCAGTATACTGTAGGTAGGGGTAAAGTGACTAGACAACAGATAGATAATAGACAGTAGCAGCAGTATACTGTAGGTAGGGGTAAAGTGACTAGACAACAGGATAGATAATAGACAGTAGCAGCAGTATACTGTAGGTAGGGGTAAAAGTGACTAGACAAACAGGATAGATAATAGACAGTAGCAGCAGTATACTGTAGGTAGGGGTAAAGTGACTAGACAACAGGATAGATAATAGACAGTAGCAGCAGTATACTGTAGGTAGGGGGTAAAGGGACTAGACAACAGGATAGATAATAGACAGTAGCAGCAGTATACTGTAGGTAGGGTAAAGGGACTAGAACAACAGGATAGATAATAGACAGTAGCAGCAGTATACTGTAGGTAGGGGTAAAGGGACTAGGCCAACAGGATAGATAATAGACAGTAGCAGCAGTATACTGTAGGTAGGGGTAAAGGGACTAGACAAACAGGATAGATAATAGACAGTATCAGCGGTATACTGTAGGTAGGGGTAAAGGGACTAGACAACAGGATAGATAATAGACAGTAGCAGCAGTATACTGTAGGTAGGGGGTAAAGGGACTAGACAACAGGATAGATAATAGACAGTATCAGCGGTATACTGTAGGTAGGGGGTAAAGGGACTAGACAAACAGGATAGATAATAGACAGTTAGCAGCAGTATACTGTAGGTAGGGGTAAAGGGACTAGAGCAACAGGATAGATAATAGACAGTAGCAGCAGTATACTGAGGTAGGGGTAAGGGGGTAAAGGTGACTAGGCACCAACAGGATGGATAATAGACAGTAGCAGCAGTATACTGTAGGTAGGGGTAAAGTGACTAGACAACAGGATAGATAATAGACAGTAGCAGCCAGTTATACTGTAGGTTAGGGGTAAAGGGACTAGACAACAGGATAGATAATAGACAGTATCAGCAGTATAAGGTAGGTAGGGGTAAAGGGACTAGACAACAGGATAGATAATAGACAGTAGCAGCAGTATACTGTAGGTAGGGGTAAAGGGACTAGGACAACAGGGATAGATAATAGACAGTAGCAGCAGTATACTGTAGGTAGGGGTAAAGGTGAACTAACAACAGGGTAGATAATACGTACAGCAGTATACTGTAGGTGGGGTAAAGGGACTAGACAACAGGGTAGATAATAGACAGTAGCAGCAGTATACTGTAGGAGGGGTAAAGGGACTAGACAAAAGGATAGATAAAAGACAGTAGCAGCAGTATACTGTAGGTAGGGGTAAAGTGACTAGACCACAGGATAGATAATAGACAGTAGCAGCAGTATACTGTAGGTAGGGGTAAAGTGACTAGACAACAGGATAGATATAGACAGTACAGCAGTATACTGTAGGTAGGGGTAAAGGGACCCTATGGACAACAGGATAGATAATAGACAGTAGCAGCAGTATACTGTAGGTAGGGTAAAGTGACTAGACAACAGGATAGATAATAGACAGTATCAGCAGTATACTGTAGGTAGGGGTAAAGGGACTAGACAACAGGATAGATAATAGACAGTAGCAGCAGTATACTGTAGGTAGGGGTAAAGGGACTAGACAACAGGATAGATAATAGACAGGTAGCAGGCTGCTAGTATACTGTAGGTAGGGGTTTAAAGTGACATAGACACATACGGATAGATAATAGACAGTAGCCAGCAGTATTCATCAGTTCTTATGGCTTGGGGGTTTGGGTGGTAGAAGCTGTTCAGGGTCCTGTTGGTTCAGACGTGTTTGCATCGCGTAGTGCTTGCCGGTCGGTTCTAGCAGAGAGAGAAACCAGTCTATGACTAGGGTGGCTGGAGTCTTGACAATTCTCAGGGCCTTCCTCTGAACACCGCCTGTTATAGAGGCTCCTGGGATGGCAGGAAGCTTGGCCCCAGTTGATTGTTACTGGGCCGTTACGCACTTACCCTCTGTTAGTGCCTTGCGGTCGGAGGCCCGAGCAGTTGCCATACCAGGCTGTGATGCAACCGATCAGGATGCTCTCGATGGTGCAGCTGTAGAACGTTTTGAGGATCTGAAGGCCCATGCCGGATCTCCTGAGGGGGAAGAGGCGTTATTGGAGTGGGTCTAAGGTTTCTTGGATGATGGTGTTGATGTGAGCCATGACCAGCCTTTCAAAGCATTTCATGGCTACAGACGTGAGTGCTACGGGACGATTAGTCATTTAGACAGGTTACTTTAGTGTTCTTGGGCACGGGGGACTATGGTGGTCTGCTTGAAACATGTAGGTATTACAGACCAGGTCAGGGAGAGGTCAGTGAATACACTTGTCAGCTGGTTAGCGCATGCTCTGAGTACGTCCTCTTGGTAATCCGTCTGGCCCCGCGGCCTTTTGAATGTTAATCTGTGGAAAGGTCTTACTCACATCAATCAACTGACTATGTAAATAAATAATAAGATATGCAGAACACTGTTATAGTGCAGAACAAGTAGGCTAAAACAGTGTCACTACACAAGAAGAAGAAGTTATTGTAATGTTGTCGTCGGCTGGAGCGGCTTTATATGTATTTCAATCAATCAACCAATCACCTCTGACCCTTCTCACCTCTGACCCTTCTTTTCTCTAGGATTCGTTAAAGGAGTACCCGTGTGGAGGGGAACACACCCCCAGCCCCATCGCCTCTGCTGTTCCCCTGTCAGCCACCCCTTCTCTCACCAGGGAAACTCAGCTCACCGCTGTCACCACCGCTACTGAGGCCGGCCACACCATCGCTCTGCTGGGGGACAAGAAGGGATGGCTGCATAAGGTATACACACGCGCACCATCGCATTGCTCCAAAGTCCTGGGTTCATTTCCCACATGGATCTTCAGTACATACTAAATGTACTGAAAGTTGCTTTTTATAAAACGTGAAACCTGTACCCATAGCTGCCCATTGCAACCTGTACCCACAGCTGCCCTTTGAAACCTGTACCCACAGCTGCCCATTGAAACCTGTACCCATAGCTGCCCATTGAAACCTGTACCCATAGCTGCCCATTGAAACCTGTACCCATAGCTGCCCATTGAAACCTGTACCCATAGCTGCCCATTGAAACCTGTACCCATAGCTGCCCATTGAAACCTGTACCCATAGCTGCCCATTGAAACCTGTACCCATAGCTGCCCATTGAAACCTGTACCCATAGCTGCCCATTGAAACCTGTACCCATAGCTGCCCTTTGAAACCTGTACCCATAGCTGCCCATTGAAACCTGTACCCATAGCTGCCCATTGAAACCTGTACCCATAGCTGCCCATTGAAACCTGTACCCATAGCTGCCCATTGAAACCTGTACCCATAGCTGCCCATTGAAACCTGTACCCATAGCTGCCCATTGAAACCTGTACCCATAGCTGCCTATTGAAACCTGTACCCATAGCTGCCCTTTGAAACCTGTACCCATAGCTGCCCATTGAAACCTGTACCCACAGCTGCCCTTTGCAGATAAGGTTGCCCACCTCTGACTTTCACCTCCATTAGAAACATGGACACCCATGAGCTAGACTTGGCTCTTCATTAGTAATGTGTTAATCACTATTCAGTTAACCACTAGCACAGTTAACCACTAGCACAGTTAACCACCAGCACAGTTAACCACCAGCACAGCTCCGCAGGCAGGCAGGCAGGCAGGCAGGCTGGCATCCACAGAGAGGTCATTAACATGAAACATGTTGCTAATGTGAATTATGGATGAAAGCAGATCCAGCTCAGCACCACACTGCCTAGAGCTGCCTGCTGTTCCTTAGCTTAAATACCCTCGCCTCCCACACACACTCCAACTAGACACACACACACACACACACACACACACACACTAACGACACACACACACACACTAACGAGACACTGAGACACTCCCTAATCGCACACACGCATGCGCACACACACACCACACAAACACACACACTAACAAGACATTCTCTCATCACACACACACACACACACACACACACACACGGTGGCCTGCTGTGATATGGTGGTGGGAACAGGGGGAACCAGAGAGACACAAGGAATTGTTCATTTGATTGTTAAATAATGCAACTATGTGAGAACAATAAATGTTGTGAACAGTTTTTTGCATTTCGCCGTTATATTGAGTGAGGAAGCAATATGTGAAAACTGTTGTGGAAATCTGCAGAGCTCGACTACAACACCCACGATGCAATGCCCTCTCTAGAAAGGCTGTCTACGAACAATACCAAAAGTCAACATGTGAAGTAGCTAGTTGTAAAATCCCTGACGCTAACTGCACTGTCAATTTAGGAGTATACTAGCAGCATGCATTGTGAAACATGAAAGCATTGTAGTTGTTTACAGTGTATTATCATGATGGTGTGTGTCCCACCATTTTTCGGTTAAAGTGACCAAAAGCATAGTAATTTATGGTAGTCACATAATGCAACATTGACTTCTCGCTCTGCAATGGCAAAGAGTAGTAGGCCTAGTACCCCTGTTAAACCCCTTTAGATCAGAGTGAAAAACCACAACACACAGGGTCTGGTAGTGGTACTGAACCCTGTTAAACGTTGGGACCTGGATGAGAAGAATGAGTCTGTCACGTTGAAGATAAGGCTTCTCTCTTCAATACCGTTTTCAGTTGGCTCTCTCTCATTCAACTGACTAGGCTACTCCTGTACAATTCTAAATAGCCAACATACTAAAAATAAAAAAAATGTTATAAAAGGGTATTAATTAACATCTTATCTCATGTTCATCGAGTCATTCTTCTTTTAAGGTCCTTACTACTGAATGGTGTCTGTTCCAGGTGCGTTGGAGTCAAAATAACAATACTGGAATAGATGGACGCTGTCGAAAAAATGAATAAATCCCCAAAAGAGGCTTGAATGCAAAATGTAGATGTTAATTAAAACATCATGCCATGGTGCCCAAAAAATCATAGTGCAAGAAAGTGCATGAATGAAAGGTGAAAACAAAACACAAACGTTTCGACCTCTGCTCATCGTCAGTGTGAATGTTGGCATCATGTCACTCTCAACATATCCCTCACAACAACACATTACAATGTTTCCCTTTGTTTACACTCTCTGTGTGAACATTCATTTGGAGTCCTCTGTCGCCATGACTATGACAGGTTAGCTTGACTGGAGCTAACGTTTGCCGACGTTAGTTTCTAGGCTAACTGACTATTATAGATTAAACTATCAAAACGTCAATAAAAAAAAATACAATAATATCGTTCCACTTCGGTTAACTTGGTGTTTCTCATCCTATGCTTTTTATAACTCACTCACCGTGAAGATAAGGTTTAAAATAATGTGTTTATATGGTTCTTCTCTCTTCAGTTTTCAGTTGGCTCAACTGACTCACTGACTAGGCAGGCTTGCACGAGAGCCACTGTAGAGTGAGAGCGCTTGAAGCAGCCACTAGAGCGAGCAGCTCCCTCTGCAGGCCGAAACAAGCACAACACCCCTTGACTATAAATAAATAATGACATAATGCCAACGATTAGGCTACCATATATCTGACATTCTCCCACATTTCTAGTTGACAGAAAGTATTACCCCTTTTTGACAGAAACTATTTCCCTTTTTCTTTGATGTTACAGACACACTAGAACCTGCCTCTGACTATCAGAAACTTGCCCACAGTGGCGTGTATTCATGGATGCCAATGGAAGTCTGTCTTCCCCCAATAAAATGACAAAGAAAAAAATACATAAAATATATTTTGTCTCTCTGTGTTTCATAATTTTACTTCAATTCGTAAGAGGCTAATGGCGCCGGAGGAGATGGCTGCCGTTTTACGGGCTCCTAACCAATTGTGCTATTGTGTGTGTTTTTTCGCGTTATTTGTAACTTATTTTATACATCATGTTTCTGCCACCGTCTCTTATGACCGAAAAGAGCTTCTGGATATCAGGACAGCGATTACTCACCTCGTACTGGACAAATAATTTTTTCTTTAACGAGTCGGACGCAAAGGATTAACTTCAGACACCCGACAAGGCCCAAATCCCCGTCATTCACATGAAGAATAGACAGAGATATCGGGGACGTAGGTCGGGGTGCCTAGTAAGGAACCGACGGCGAGTGGGTAATCTGCCTCTACCATCAGTCCTATTAGCCAACGTCATTGGATAACAAAATAGACGAGCTACGATCACTAATATCCACCAACAGGACATTAAAAACGGTTTTTACCTCATTTCTACCAGCATGTTAAATGTGCAACCAGAGGGAAAAAAACTCTAGACCACCTTTACTCCACACACAGAGACGCGTACAAAGCTCTCCCTCGCCCTCCATTTGGCAAATCTGACCATAATTCTATCCTCCTGATTCCTGCTTACAAGCAAAAACTAAAGCAGGAAGCACCAGTGACTCGGTCAATAAAGAAGTGGTCAGATGACGCAGATGCTAAGCTACAGGACTGTTTTGCTAGCACAGACTGGAATATGTTCTAGGATTCTTCCGATGGCATTGAGGAGTACACCACATCAGTCACTGGCTTCATCAATAAGTGAATCGATGACGTCGTCCCCACAGTGACCGTACGTACATACCCCAACCAGAAGCCATGGATTACAGGCAATATCCGCACTGAGCTAAAGGGTAGAGCTGCCGCTTTCAAGGAGCGGGACTCTAACCCGGACGCTTATAAGAAATCCCGCTATGCCCTCCAATGAACCATCAAACAGGCAAAGTGTCAATACAGGACTAAGATCGAATCGTACTAAACCGGCTCCGACCCTCGTCGGATGTGGCAGGACTTACAAACTATTACAGACTACAAAGGGAAGCACAGCCGCGAGCTGCCCTGTGACACAAGCCTACCAGACGAGCTAAATTACTTCTATGCTCGCTTCGAAGCAAGCAACACTGAAGCATGCATGAGAGCATCAGCTGTTCCGGACGACTGTGTGATCACTCTCCGTAGCCGATGTGAGTAAGACCTTTAAACAGGTCAACATTCACAAGGCCACAGGGCCAGACGGATTACCAGGACGTGTACTCCGAGCATGTGCTGACCAACTTGCAAGTGTCTTCACTGACATTTTCAACCTGTCCCTGACCGAGTCTGTAATACCAACATGTTTCAAGCAGACCACCATAGTCCCTGTGCCCAAGAACACCAAGGTAACCTGCCTAAATGACTACCGACCCGTAGCACTCATGTCTGTAGCCATGAAGTGCTTTGAAAGGCTGGTCATGGCTCACATCAACACCATTATCCCAGAAACCCTAGACCCACTCCAATTTGCATACCGCCCCTATTGCACTCCACACTGCCCTTTCACACCTGGACAAAAGGAACACCTACGTGAGAATGTTATTCATTGACTACAGCTCAGCGTTCAACACTATAGTGCCCTCAAAGCTCATCACTAAGCTCAGGATCCTGGGACCAAACACCTCCCTCTTTAACTGGATCCTGGACTTCCTGACGGGCCGCCCCCCAGGTGGTAAGGGTAGGTAACAACACATCTGCCAAGCTGATCCTCAACACGGGGGCCCCTCAAGGGTGTGTGCTCGGTCCCCTCCTGTACTCCCTGTTCACCCATGACTGCATGGCCAGGCATGACTCCAACACCATCATTAAGTTTGCTGACGACACAACAGTGGTAGGCCTGATTACAGACAACGATGAGACAGCCTATAAGAAGGATGTCAGAGACCTGGCCGTGTGGTGCCAGGACAACAACCTCTCCTTCAACGTGATCAAGACAAAGGAGATGATCATGGACTACAGGAAAAGGAGGACCGAGCACGCCCCCATTCTCATCGACGGGGCTGTAGTGGAGCAGGTTGAGAGCTTCAAGTTCCTTGGTGTCCACATCAGCAACAAACTATTATGGTCCAAACACACCAAGACAGTCGTGAAGAGAGCACAACAATTCCTATTTCCCCTCAGGAGACTGAAAAGATTTGGAATGGGTCCTCAGATCCTCAAAAAGTTCTACAGCTGCACCATCGAGAGTATCCTGACTGGTTGCATCACTGCCTGGTATGGCAGCTGCTCGGCCTCCGACCGCAAGGCACTACAGAGGGTAGTGCGTACGGCCCAGTACATAACTGGGGCCAAGCTTCCTGCCATCCAGGACCTCTATACCAGGCGGTGTCAGAGGAAGGCCCTAAAAATGGTCAAAGACTCCAGCCACTGTAGTCATTGACTCTTCTCTCTGCTACCGCACGGAAAGCGGTACCGGAGCGCCAAGTCTAGGTCCAAAAGGCTTCTTAACAGCTTCTACCCCCAAGCCATAAGACTCCTGAACAGCTAATCATGGCTACCCGGACTATTTGCATTGTCCCCCCCCCACCCCACCCCCTCTTTTACACTGCTGCTACTCTGTTTATTATCTATGCATAGTCACTTTACCTCTACCTACATGTACATATTACCTCAATTACCTCGACAATTACCCCCACACATTGACTCTGTACCGGTACCCCCTGTATATAGTCTCATTATTGTTATTTTACTGTTGCTCTTTAATGATTTTTATTTTTATTTTTATTTATGTATTGTTTACTTAACACTTATTTTTCTTAACATAAGTCTGACACCAACAGTCAGATCAGCAATAAGACTGATAAATACAGTTGAAGTCGGAAGTTTACCAACACTTAGGTTGGAGTCATTAAAACTTGTTTTTCAACCACTCCACACATTTCTTGTTAACAAACTATAGTTTTGGCAAGTCGGTTAGGACATCTACTTTGTGCATGACACAAGTAATTTTTCCAACAATTGTTTACAGACAGATTATTTCACTTATAATTCACTGTATCACAATTCCAGTGGGTCAGAAGTTTACATACACTAAGTTGACTGTGCCTTTAAACAGCTTGGAAAATTCCAGAAAATTATGTCATGACTTTAGAAGCTTCTGATAGGCTAATTGACATCATTTGAGTCAATTGGAGGTGTACCTGTGGATGTATTTCAAGGCCTACCTTCAAACTCAGTGCCTCTTTGCTTGACATCATGGGAAAATCAAAAGAATTCAGCCAAGACCTCAGGAAAAAAAATTGTAGACCTCCACAAGTCTGGTTCATCCTTGGGAGCAATTTCCAAACGCCTGAAGGTACCACGTTCATCTGTACAAACAATAGTATGCAAGTATAAACACCATGGGAGCACGCAGCTGTCATACCGCTCAGGAAGGAGACGCGTTCTGTCTCCTAGAACAACAGCAAAGGACCTTGTGAAGATACTGGAGGAAACAGGTACAAAAGTATCTATATCCACAGTAAAACGAGTCCTATATCGACATAACCTGAAAGGCCGCTCAGCAAGGAAGAAGCCACTGCTCCAAAACCGCCATAAAAAAGCCAGACTACGGTTTGCAACTGCACATGGGGACAAAGATCATACTTTTTGGAGAAATGTCCTCTGGTCTGATGAAACAAAAATAGAACTGTTTGGCCATAATGACCATCGTTATATTTGGAGGAAAAAGGGGGTCGCTTGCATGCCGAAGAACACCATCCCAACCGTGAAGCATGGGGCTGGCAGCATCATGCTGTGGGGGTGCTTTGCTGCAGGAGGGACTGGTGCACTTCACAAAATAGATGGCATCATGAGGAAGGAAAATTATGTGGATATATTGAAGCAACATCTCAAGACATCACTCAGGAAGGTAAAGCTTGGTCGCAAATGGGTCTTCCAAATGGACAATGACCCCAACCATACTTCCAAAGTTGTGGCAAAATGGCTTAAGGACAACAAAGTCAAGGTATTGGAGTGGCCACAAAGCCCTGACCTCAATCCTATAGAAAATGTGTTGGCAGAACTGAAAAAGCTTGTGCGAGCAAGGAGGCCTACAAACCTGACTCAGTTACACCAGCTCTGTCAGGAGGAATGGGCCAAAATTCACCCAATTTATTGTGGGAAGCTTGTGGAACGCTACCCGAAACATTTTACCCATTGTTGAGGATCAGCGTGGAAGATGTTTTGCTGCCTACCCTCACCACCTGGGGGCGGCCCGTCAGGAAGTCCAGGATCCAGTTGCAGAGGGAGGTGTTCAGTCCCAGGGTCCTGAGCCTAGTGATGAGCTTGGAGGGCACTATGGTGTTGAACGCTGAGCTGTAGTCAATGATGAGATGCGAGCTTCATAAGTAAATTATACATTTCAAGCAATTGACATATCAAAAGACCAGTGTGCCTATGCTAGTAATTGTTGCTTGATGCCTCATTGCTGGTGAGCTTGCAAAGTAAACAGTTCATATTCTTGATCACCAATTTTTTGGGGAGCTGCATATTTATTATGGCCGTCCTCTCTCCCTACAATGTGATGTTTGCTCTGCACCCGATCCCATAGCTGCACAGCAAATCAGCAATCTGTTCGCTAGCTCTGCTGATTGACAGTTTGCTGATCCAATCAGAGGGCCGAGTGTGCGTTTCACTAGCCAATCTGTTGCACGTTTAATTTTTTTTTGCAAGGGCGATGCTGTGGCTACTGTCTCTGGCTGTGTGGAGAGTAATCCACAGAGACTATGTGCCACAAAATGAGACAAAACATTACAAAACCAGATCATTTCAAGTCATCAGTTTCAAGTCAAAGTCAAATTTGTGACTCAAGTCAGACGCGAGTCCAAGTCATGTGACTCGAGTTCACAACTCTGACACTGTATGTATGGTACTAGCCTGGTCCCAGATCTGTTTGTGCTCTCTTGCCAACACACCATAAATAATCTTCACTTTTTCTTCTCTATGTGGTCAGGTATTTCTCCAGCCTGACACAACAGGGACATTGTATCAGAGTGTATTGGTGGACCAGGACAGTCCAGTCAACGCTGACCTACTCCTGGACCAGTCTGGACAGAATGTCTACGTCCTCACTGACAGCAAGGTAACGTCTAGCCCCTATCCTTAGACCCTAACCCCTAGCCCCTATCCTTAGACCCTAGCCCCTATCCTTAGACCCTAAGCCCTAGCCCCTATCCTTAGACCCTAACCCCTAGCCCCTATCCTTAGACCCTAACCCCTAGCCCCTATCCTTAGACCCTAACCCCTAGCCCCTATCCTTAGACCCTAACCCCTAGCCCCTATCCTTAGACCCTAACCCCTAGCCCCTATCCTTAGACCCTAACCCCTAGCCCCTATCCTTAGACCCTAACCCCTAGCCCCTATCCTTAGACCCTAACCCCTAGCCCCTATCCTTAGACCCTAACCCCTAGCCCCTATCCGTAGACCCTAACCCCTAGTCCCTATCCTTAGGCTCTAACCCCTAGCCCCTATCCTTAGACCCTAACCCCTAGTCCCTATCCTTAGACCCTAACCCCTAGCCCCTATCCTTAGACCCTAACCCCTAGTCCCTATACTTAGACCCTAACCCCTAGCCCCTATCCTTAGACCCTAACCCCTAGCCCCTATCCTTAGACCCTAACCCCTAGCCCCTATCCTTAGACCCTAACCCCTAGCCCCTATCCTTAGACCCTAACCCCTAGCCCCTATCCTTAGACCCTAACCCCTAGCCCCTATCCTTAGCCCCTAACCCCTAGCCCCTAACCCCTAGCCCCTAACCCCTAGCCCCTAACCCCTAGCCCCTATCCTTAGACCCTAACCCCTAGCCCCTATCCGTAGACCCTAACCCCTAGCCCCTATCCGTAGACCCTAACCCCTAGCCCCTATCATTAGACCCTAACCCCTAGCCCCTACCCTTGACCCTAACCCCTAGCCCCTACCCTTAGAGAGAGAGAAGCACCAGATCATCAGCAAACAGTAGACATTTGACTTCAGATTCTAGTAGGGTGAGGCCAGGTGCTGCAGACTGTTCTAGTGCCCTCGCCAATCCGTTGATATAGATGTTGAAGAGGGTGGGGCTTAAGCTGCATCCCTGTCTCACCCCACGGCCCTGTGGAAAGAAATGTGTGTGTTTTTTGCCAATTTTAACTGCACACTTGTTGTTTGTGTACATGGATTTTATAATGTCGTATGTTTTCCCCCCAACACCACTTTCCATCCGTTTGTATAGCAGACCCTCATGCCTCTCTTTTCCTTTGTCTCTCAGGTGTCCAAGGTGGCTGTGTCTCAGTGTGAGCAGCAGCCTGACTGCCAGGCCTGTCTGTCCGTCAGAGATCCTTACTGTGGCTGGTGTGTCCTGGAGGGAAGGTACTGTACACAGCTACTCTTCCTGGGGTTTATTATGGATCCCCATTAGTTCATTAGGCAGCAGCTACTCTTCCTGGGGTTTATTATGGATCCCCATTAGTTCCTGCCAAGGCAGCAGCTACTCTTCCTGGGGTTTATTAAGGATCCCCATTAGTTCCTGCCAAGGCAGCAGCTACTCTTCCTGGGGTTTATTAAGGATCCCCATTAGTTCCTGCCAAGGCAGCAGCTACTCTTCCTGGGGTTTATTATGGATCCCCATTAGTTCCTGCCAAGGCAGCAGCTACTCTTCCTGGGGTTTATTATGGATCCCCATTAGTTCCTGCCAAGGCAGCAGCTACTCTTCCTGGGGTTTATTATGGATCCCTGTTAGTTCCTGCCAAGGCAGCAGCTACTCCTCCTGGGGTTTATTATGGATCCCCGTTAGTTCCTGCCAAGGCAGCAGCTACTCTTCCTGGGGTTTATTATGGATCCCCGTTAGTTCCTGCCAAGGGAGCAGCTACTCTTCCTGGGGTTTATTATGGATCCCCGTTAGTTCCTGCCAAGGCAGCAGCTACTCTTCCTGGGGTTTATTATGGATCCCCGTTAGTTCCTGCCAAAGGCAGCAGCTACTCTTCCTGGGGTTTATTATGGATCCCCATTAGTTCCTGCCAAGGCAGCAGCTACTCTTCCTGGGGTTTATTATGGATCCCCGTTAGTTCCTGCCAAGGCAGCAGCTACTCTTCATGGGATTTATTATGGATCCCCATTAGTTCCTGCCAAGGCAGCAGCTACTCTTCCTGGGGTTTATTATGGATCCCCATTAGTTCCTGCCAAGGCAGCAGCTACTCTTCCTGGGGTTTATTATGGATCCCCATTAGTTCCTGCCAAGGCAGCAGCTACTCTTCCTGGGGTTTATTTTGGATCCCCATTAGTTCCTGCCAAGGCAGCAGCTACTCTTCCTGGGGTTTATTATGGATCCTCATTAGTTCCTGCCAAGGCAGCAGCTACTCTTCCTGGGGTTTATTATGGATCCCCATTAGTTCCTGCCAAGGCAGCAGCTACTCTTCCTGTGGTTTATTATGGATCCTCATTAGTTCCTGCCAAGGCAGCAGCTACTCTTCCTGGGGTTTATTATGGATCCTCATTAGTTCCTGCCAAGGCAGCAGCTACTCTTCCTGGGGTTTATTATGGATCCCCATTAGTTCCTGCCAAGGCAGCAGCTACTCTTCCTGGGGTTTATTATGGATCCTCATTAGTTCCTGCCAAGGCAGCAGCTACTCTTCCTGGGGTTTATTATGGATCCCCATTAGTTCCTGCCAAGGCAGCAGCTACTCTTCCTGGGGTTTATTATGGATCCCCATTAGTTCCTGCCAAGGCAGCAGCTACTCTTCCTGGGGTTTATTATGGATCCCCATTAGTTCATTAGGCAGCAGCTACTCCTCCTGGGGTTTATTATGGATCCCCATTAGTTCCTGCCAAGGCAGCAGCTACTCTTCCTGGGGTTTATTATGGATCCCCGTTAGTTCCTGCCAAGGCAGCAGCTACTCTTCCTGGGGTTTATTATGGATCCCCATTAGTTCCTGCCAAGGCAGCAGCTACTCTTCCTGGGGTTTTATTATAGATCCCCATTAGTTCATTAGGGGCTTGTTGATAGTGTTATCTCCTCTAGGGCCTCTAGGGACCTGCCTTGTTGATAGTGTTATCTCCTCTAGGGCCTCTAGGGACCTGCCTTGTTGATAGTGTTATCTCCTCTAGGGCCTGTAGGACCTGCCTTGTTGATAGTGTTATCTCCTCTAGGGCCTGTAGGGACCTGCCTTGTTGATAGTGTTATCTCCTCTAGGGCCTGTAGGGACCTGCCTTGTTGATAGTGTTATCTCCTCTAGGGCCTGTAGGACCTGCCTTGTTGATAGTGTTATCTCCTCTAGGGCCTGTAGGACCTGCCTTGTTGATAGTGTTATCTCCTCCAGGGCCTGTAGGGACCTGTCTTGTTGATAGTGTTATCTCCTCTAGGGCCTGTAGGACCTGCCTTGTTGATAGTGTTATCTCCTCTAGGGCCTGTAGGACCTGCCTTGTTGATAGTGTTATCTCCTCTAGGGCCTGTAGGACCTGCCTTGTTGATAGTGTTATCTCCTCTAGGGCCTGTAGGACCTGCCTTGTTTATAGTGTTATCTCCTCTAGGGCCCGTAGGGACCTGCCTTGTTGATAGTGTTATCTCCTCTAGGGCCTGTAGGGACCTGCCTTGTTGATAGTGTTATCTCCTCTAGGGCCTCTAGGGACCTGCCTTGTTGATAGTGTTATCTCCTCTAGGGCCTCTAGGGACCTGCCTTGTTGATAGTGTTATCTCCTCTAGGGCCTGTAGGACCTGCCTTGTTGATAGTGTTATCTCCTCTAGGGCCTGTAGGGACCTGCCTTGTTGATAGTGTTATCTCCTCTAGGGCCTGTAGGGACCTGCCTTGTTGATAGTGTTATCTCCTCTAGGGCCTGTAGGGACCTGCCTTGTTGATAGTGTTATCTCCTCTAGGGCCTGTAGGGACCTGCCTTGTTGATAGTGTTATCTCCTCTAGGACCTGCCTTGTTGATAGTGTTATCTCCTCTGACCCACACATACACACTGTTAAAACCCCTTTTCCTCTGTCACACATTTCCATGTTAACTTGTGTTTATACCGTTGACACAGATGTACTCGTAGACTGGAGTGTAGTCGTGAGGGCCAGGCCAACCACTGGCTGTGGAGCTGCCAGCCTGCCAACCAGCCTGCCGACCAGCCTGCCAACCAGCCTGCCAACCAGTGTGTGACTGTTCAGAGCCTGAAGCCTGCCATACAGAGCAGAGAGGAGAAGACTGAGGTGGGTTACAGATCTTCAACAGTCTAGTATATGTAGAAACATTGTGTGACAGATCTGTGGGAGGAGATTTGATGGAGTAACTCAGTGGAGGTGCCTGGGCTGGTCTAGTGGGTAATGTCTGGTGGGTAATGTCTAGTGGGTAATGTCTAGTGGGTAATGTCTGGGCTGGTCTAGTGGGTAATGTCTAGTGGGTAATGTCTAGGGGGTAATGTCTGGGCTGGTCTAGTGGGTAATGTCTGGACTGGTCAAAGGGGTAATGTCTGGGCTGGTCTAGGGGGTAATGTCTAGGGGGTATTGTCTGGGCTGGTCTACTGGGTAATGTCTAGTGGGTAATGTCTGGGCTGGTCTAGTGGGTAATGTCTAGTGGGTAATGTCTGGGCTGGTCTAGTGGGTAATGTCTGGGCTGGTCTAGGGGGTAATGTCTGGGCTGGTCTAGTGGGTAATGTCTAGTGGGTAATGTCTGGGCTGGTCTAGTGGGTAATGTCTGGGCTGGTCTAGGGGGTAATGTCTGGGCTGGTCTAGTGGGTAATGTCTAGGGGGTAATGTCTGGGCTGGTCTAGTGGGTAATGTCTAGTGGGTATTGTCTGCGCTGGTCTAGTGGGTAATGTCTGGGCTGGTCTAGTGGGTAATGTCTGGGCTGGTCTAGTGGGTAATGTCTGGGCTGGTCTAGTGGGTAATGTCTAGTGGGTAATGTCTGGGCTGGTCTAGTGGGTAATGTCTAGTGGGTATTGTCTGCGCTGGTCTAGTGGGTAATGTCTAGTGGGTATTGTCTGGGCTGGTCTAGTGGGTAATGTCTAGTGGGTAATGTCTGGGCTGGTCTAGTGGGTAATGTCTAGTGGGTAATGTCTGGGCTGGTCCTGCAGTACATGTGGTTATTAATCCCTCCACCCTACCTGTATGTCTCTCCCCCACTCTCTTTCTATCTGTCCCAATAAACCTTTAAAATACTTATTTTAAAAAAAATCAGAATAAAAATCAGCATGTATAATATATAGATCTCGATCCCAGGTGTCACTAACAGTGGCCCAGCTGCCCACCCTGTCAGATGAGGAGTCTCTTTCCTGCTCCTTCGGAACCCTCCCCCCTCAGCCAGCCATCGTCACGGGAACCACCATCACCTGTCAATCACCCCTGCCTGAGCTCCTCCCACCCAGCCCACCAGGAAGTGGTAGGATGCCATTTTTATTTTACGTTTTATATATGAAAAAATCTCGAATTATTCGATAAAAAAAATATAATAATAAAGTTTGATTTGTTTTCATAATTATTTAATTAATTTATAATTTAATCAATGTAACACATTTATTATTTATCCAAATTAATCTAATTGAGATAGAAATAACCGGGGCGGCAGGTAGCCTGGCGGCTAAAGAGGAGAGACAGTTTGAATCCTGTGTCTGACGGGAAAAGTCTGGCGGGAAGTGAACTGGCAACCAGAGGGTTGCTGGTATCAAATCCTAGATGCCATTGCCTGCTGTTGTGCCCTTGAGCAAGACACTTAACCTCCACAACAACTGCTCCCCCGCACCTCTTCAAAAAGCCTGTATATGTATGACTCATCATGATGTTGACTGATCATCCATTGAGGCAACTGGAGGCTGTATAGCATTGATGAACTGCCTAATGAACTTTTAAAATCCCATAAATTAATTGACGTCCTATATGATTTGCTCCAAATTTGTTTAGTGTACAGTATACTACCATAAGTCTATAGTGAATCCCATTCCCAAATCTTCAAAAAATGACCAGAGAGAGCCACTGAACTATAGAGGGATTAGTTTATTAAGTACGGTCTATAAATTATATTCATCCATCCTCAACAACAGGCTGATGACCTTTCTGGAAGATCAAAACATTCTGCTGGAAGAACAAAAATGGTTTCTGTAAATCCAGAGCCTGTATAGATCATATCTTCTGGGTCTGTACAATAATCAGAAATAGATTACACGAAGAGAAGCCGACTTTTGCATTTTTCATTGATTTTCAGAAAGCTTTTGATTTTGTAAATAGGGATCTTTTAAGCCTATAGTTTGTTAAAGACAGGGGTTGACGGGAAATGTTATCACGCAATTCAGTCTCTTTACAAAGCACCAACAGCCTGTGTGCGTGATAATGAATATGGAACAGATTGGTTTCCCTTGGTTACCCTCGGGTGTAAAACAATGAGACTCCTTATCACCGACTTTGTTTGCTATGTTTTATAAATGATTTGGCAAAATAAAGGAAACAGTTAAATATTGGAGTAAGATTTGATGATGAAATGCTAAGTATCCTTTTATATGCTGATTATATTATTTTGACGGCAGAAACTGAAGCAGAACACGTTATTATGTGCAGTCAATTGGTGTAAAAGACGGAGACTCATGATCAACCTGACAAAAACACAGATAATGCAATTTAGAAAACCAGGTACTAAGAGAAGTGTTTTTTCAGTTTTGTTTTGGTGAAGACGTTCTTGAGTTTACTAGCAATTATATAAATATTTGTGTCTTTTTACTGATGAACATATGACCTTTCTATACGGAACATCTTCCCGACTCAGCAAGTAACGCTCTTTTTGGGGGAGTTCTAGGAAAAACAAAAACACTCAAAAGATACTGGTTATGCTACGTATTCCAAACTGGATCAGACGTGCGCGTCCTGTTCTGGACTGTTCAGCAGGAGTTTGGGGTGCTAAGGAGGTATCTCAAAAACGAACATGTCCATAACACTTGACTTAAAAAAAAAAAAGGGGGTAGATCAGCTTTAATATTGCAGATTGTAACTTTCATCAATGTAATTGTCTGCATCACTTCCAATCCCCCATATGTTTTTGGAATAGATTGTTGGATATGCCAACTGCCAGAATAGCTTTTCAATGGGATCTATCCATAGGGGGAGCCTGGGCAACTGAAATGTCAGACCTTTTCCAACAGTCTGACTGTTGACATCTGTACGAAAACCAAATTAAGGGAGACATAGATATTATTATTTTTTTTAACTGTTGATGCGATATGAAAAAAAATAATGGGTGGAGGAGATGAATCCTAAACCCAAATTGAAAACCCTTTGTTGTCTCCTCTCTGTAGACCACATGACTAGATACTACCAGTGTGTCTGGGGTGGCAGGTAGCTTAGTGGTTAAGAGCGTTGCGCCAGTAACCGAAAGGTCGCTGGTTCTAATCCCCGAGCCGACTAGGTGAAAAAGCTGTCGATGTGCCCTTGAGCAAGGCACTTAACCCTAATTGCTCTGGATAAGAGCGTCTGCTAAATGACTAAAATGTAATGTAAATGTATTATGTGTATACAGAAACTATTGTGGTGTCTGTGTGTGTGTGTGTGTGTGTGTGTGAATGATGTACAGAGCCTTCAGAAAGTATTCATACCCCTTGACTTATTCCACATTATATTGTGTTACAGCCTGAATTCAAAATTGATTAAATAGATGTTTTTCTCTCAGCCAATACCCCATAATGACAAAGTGATTTTTCCGTTGTTGAAATTTTAGCAAATATTTTGAAAATGAAAAACAGATATAGTTCACACCCTGAGTTTAATACTTTGTAGATGCACCTTTGAGTCGTATTGGTTACATCTGTATCTTTGTACATCTGGACTTGGGGATTTTCTCCCATTCTTCCTTGCAGATTTTCTCAAGCTCTGTTAAGTTAGATGGGGAGCGGCGGTGAACAGCATTCCTGAAGTCTTTCCACAGATGTTCAATTGTGCTTTGGCTGGGCCACTCAAGGACTTTCACATTCTTGTTCTGAAGCCATTCCAGCGTTGCTTTGGCTGTGTGCTTGGGGTCATTGTCCTGTTTGGCTGTGTACTTGGGGTCATTGTCCTGTTGGCTGTGTACTTGGGGTCATTGTCCTGTTGGCTGTGTACTTGGGGTCATTGTCCTGTTGGCTGTGTACTTGGGGTCATTGTCCTGTTGGCTGTGTACTTGGGGTCATTGTCCTGTTGGCTGTGTGCTTGGGGTCATTGTCCTGTTGGCTGTGTACTTGGGGTCATTGTCCTGTTGGCTGTGTACTTGGGGTCATTGTCCTGTTGGCTGTGTACTTGGGGTCATTGTCCTGTTGGCTGTGTGCTTGGGGTCATTGTCCTGTTGGCTGTGTACTTGGGGTCATTGTCCTGTTGGCTGTGTACTTGGGGTCATTGTCCTGTTGGCTGTGTGCTTGGGGTCATTGTCCTGTTGGCTGTGTACTTGGGGTCATTGTCCTGTTGGCTGTGTGCTTGGGGTCATTGTCCTGTTGGCTGTGTACTTGGGGTCATTGTCCTGTTGGCTGTGTACTTGGGGTCATCTTGGGGTCATTGTCCTGTTGGCTGTGTACTTGGGGTCATTGTCCTGTTGGCTGTGTACTTGGGGTCATTGTCCTGTTGGCTGTGTACTTGGGGTCATCTTGGGGTCATCTTGGGGTCATTGTCCTGTTGGAACGTAAATCTTCGCCCCAGTCTGTCGTTTGCGCTCTAAAGCAGGATTTTCCTGTATTTGGCCCCATTCATTGTTCCCTCTATCCTTACCAGTCTCCCAGAACCTGCCGCTGAAAAGCATCCCCATAGCATGCTGCCGCCACCATGCTTCACGGTAGGGATGGTGTTAGACAGGTGATGAGCACCGCCTGGTTTTCTCCAGACATAGAGCTTTGCATTCAGGCCAAAGAGTTCAATTTTTGTCTCATCAGACCACATAATCTTTTGCCTTATGCTCTGAGTCTTTCACGTGTCTTTTTGCCAACTCCAGGCGTGCTGTCATGTGCCTTTCTGGCTTCCGTCTGGCCGCTCTCCCATAAAGCCCAGATTGGTGAAGTGCTGCAGAGACTGTTGTCCTTCTGGCAGGTTCTCCCATCTCAGCCAAGGAACTCAGTAGTTCTGTCAGAGTGGTCATTGGGTTCTTGGTCACTTCCCTGACCAAGGTCCTTCTTGCCCGGTTGCTCAGTTTGGTCGGACTGCCAGCTTTAGGCAGATATTTTTTAAATTTCCCAATGATGGAGACCACTGTACTCTTGTAAACTTTCAACACTCTAGAAATGGTTGTATACCCTACCCCATATATATGCCTCATCACAATTCTCTCTGACAGTTCCTTGGACGTCATGGTATAGTTTCTGTTCTGACATGCACTGTCAACTGTGGGACCTTATATAGACAGGTGTGTGTCTTTCTAAATCATGTCCAAACAATTGAATTAGCCACAGGTGGACTCCAATCAAGTTGTAGCGACATCTCAAGGATGATCGATAGAAATTGAATGCACCTGAGCTCAATTTGGAGTGTCATAGCAAAGGGGGTGTGAATACTTACAGTACCAGTCAAAAGTTTGTACACACCTACTCATTCCAGGGTTTTTCTTTATTTTTACTATTTTCTACATTGTAGAATAATAGTGAAGACATCAAAACTATGAAATAACACATATGGAATCATGTAGTAACCAAAAAAAATGTTAAACAAATCCATATGTGCTATTTCGTAATTTTGATGTCTTCACTATTATTCTACAATGTAGAAAATAGTAAAAAATTAAGAAAAACCCTGGAATGAGTAGGCGTGTCCAAACTTTTTGACTGGTACTGTATGTAAATGAGATATTTCTGTATTTCAATTTCAATAAATTAGTAAAAATGAGCAGGTGTTTCCACTTTGACTTTGTCAGTATGGGTACGGTGTGTAGTTGGCTGAGTCAGGCTGGAACAACAACATCATGTGGAATAGGTCAAGAGGGATGAATACTCTCTGAAGGCTCTGGATATCTCTCTCTCCTCTCCATAGACCACATGTCTCTGTGTGTGTGATGTTTGGCATATAATAATAATAATAATAATAATATGCCATTTAGCAGACGCTTTTATCCAAAGCGACTTACAGTCATGCGTGCATAATTTTTTTTGTGTATGGGTGGCCCCGGGGATCGAACCCACTACCCTTGGCGTTACAAGCGCCGTGCTCTACCAGCTGAGCTACGGAGGACCACATCATGACATATCTTTATGGTCTCTCCTGTCTGTCTGTCTGTCTGTCTGTAGACCACATGTCTCTGCGTGTGTCTGTGATGTTCGGAGACGTGACCATCTCTAGCAGTGACATCACCTTCTACGACTGTAGAGCTGTGGGCCGACTCAACACCACCTCCCCGTAAGATATAACAAACGCACGCACACACACGCTCAGGCACACACACATGCGTGTGCACAGACATGCCAGTGTTTCCTCTATATTCATTTAGCAGCGGCGGGATGGTCAAACATTGTAAACATCTAAAACCAGATATAGTACGTAGAAAAGACAATGGACCTGTACATCTAAAACCAGATATAGTACGTAGAAAAGACAATGGACCTGTACATCTAAAACCAGATATAGTACGTAGAAAAGACAATGGACCTGTACATCTAAAACCAGATATAGTACGTAGAAAAGACAATGGACCTGTATATGTTTTAATGAGATCATCTTTAACAACCACCAAATCAAAAATGTAATGGTGGGGCTCCCATTGATTTAGTTATAATGTCTGAGTTACTCAGATAGATAGCATAAGAACACAGCATAACTCATGGCAAAATGTGTAGAATTGCAGGAAATTAGCTTTGGCCACGCCCACAACCCCCTCACCCCCCCCTTAACTCTGCCACCGCTGATGAAAACAATCCTAGGGGAAACACTGCATGCACACGCACAAACACATACACACACACACACACAGTCACCCAAGCTATATCTGTATGTATTCTAGGTGTATGGCGTGTGTGGGCAGTGTTTGGCCATATCCATATGTCTCTCTGTATTCTAGGTGTATGGCGTGTGTGGGCAGTGTTTGGCCATGTCCATATGTCTCTCTGTATTCTAGGTGTATGGCGTGTGTGGGCAGTGTTTGGCCATGTCCATATGTCTCTCTGTATTCTAGGTGTATGGCGTGTGTGGGCAGTGTTTGGCCATATCCATATGTCTCTCTGTATTCTAGGTGTATGGCGTGTGTGGGCAGTGTTTGGCCATATCCATATGTCTCTCTGTATTCTAGGTGTATGGCGTGTGTGGGCAGTGTTTGGCCATGTCCATATGTCTCTCTGTATTCTAGGTGTATGGCGTGTGTGAGCAGTGTGTGGCCATGTCACTGGTGTGCTCTGGATGAGCTGTGTTCCCACAACAACAGCTGCCCCAAGCAGCACACCATACACAACTCACTGGTAAGACAACCTTTACTCAACCCTAACTCAACCTTTACTCAACCCCAACTCAACCTTTACTCAACCCTAACTCAACCTTTACTCAACCCTAACTCAACCTTGACTCAACCCTAACTCAACCTTTACTCAACCCTAACTCAACCCTTACTCAACCCTAACTCAACCTTTACTCAATTCTAACTCAACCTTTACTCAACCCTAACTCAACCTTGACTCAACCCTAACTCAACCTTGACTCAACCCTAACTCAACCCTAACTCAACCCTAACTCAACCTTTACTCAAGCCTAACTCAACCTTTACTCAACCTTGACTCAACCATAACTCAACTTGTGGTCCTCTGTAGCTCAGCTGGTAGAGCACGGCGCTTGTAACGCCAAGGTAGTGGGTTCGAACCCCGGGACCACCCATACACAAAAAAATGTATGCACGGCACGACTGTAAGTCGCTTTGGATAAAAGCGTCTGCTAAATGGCATATTATTATTATTATTATTATTAACCTTGACTCAACCCTAACTCAACCTTGACTCAACCCTAACTCAACCTTTACTCAAATCTAACTCAAGCCTAACTCACACCTAACTCAACCTTGACTCAACCCTAACTCAACCTTGACTCAACCCTAACTCAACCTTGACTCAACCCTAACTCAACCTTGACTCAACCCTAACTCAACCTTGACTCAACCCTAACTCAACCTTGACTCAACCCTAACTCAACCTTTACTCACACCTAACTCAACCTTGACTCAACCCTAACTCAACCTTTACTCGACCCTAACTCAACCCTAACTCAACATTTACTCAACCCTAACCCAACCCTAACTCAGCCCTAACTCAACCTTTACTCGACCCTAACTCAACCCTAACTCAACCCTAACTCAATCCTAACTCAACATTTACTCAACATTTACTCAACCCTAACTCAACCCTAACTCAACCCTAATCCAACCCTAACTCATCCCTAACCCAACCCAACCCTAACCCAACCCAACCCTAACCCAACCCTAACCCAACCCTAACCCAACCCTAACCCAACCATAACCCAACCCTAACCCAACCCTAACCCAACCCTAACCCAACCATAACCCAACCCAACCATAACCTAACCCTAACCCAACCATAACCCAACCATAGCACGTCATACTCTTGAAAATGTATAGTTGTTTCACAGCCTCTCCTCTCCATTTTGAGTCATTCCAAACATTGTCCCAAATGTCCACCCTATTCCCTATGTCCATAGGGCCCTGGTTGAAAGTAGTGCACTGTAAAGGAAATAGGATACTATTTGGTTCTTTGTTTTCTGCTGTAATATATTATTTGGTCTGTGTGTGTGCTTCCACCTCCGACCACTAGGAGGAGCAGTTGGAGCCGCGGGGTCCAGACTCTTGTCCCTGTGTGTGGGCTCTACAGAGCTCTCCTCTGGTCCCCATGGGCTTCCTGTCTCCTCTGACCCTACTGGGGAGGAACCTCGACATGTTTCAGGTGATTGGACTCAGCAGTTTCCTAGAAATGCAGTATAGATAATGATCACAAACATATGCACAGGTAACTGGACTCAAGAGTTTACTATAAATTGAAATCCTTTGTCCTTTAAAAAAACAAATAATTTTTACATTGATGCTTCATCTCAGGGCGAGGAGCAGTACGTGTGTGTCGTGGTTGTGGAAGGGGAGGAGCTTAAACTGAACGCCACTCTGGAGAAAGATCCAAAAACCAAGACGTACACCTTCACTTGCTCTGCCCACAAGGTATTCACAAACCCCATAGACACACACTCACTAATACATTTAAACTAAAAAGCGTTCAAATGCCAAGATGTACAGTGCATTCGGAAAGTATTCAGACCCCTTTACTTTTTCCACATTTTGTTACGTTACAGCCTTATTCTAAAATGGATTAAATTGTTTTTTTTCCCTCATCAATCTACACACAATACCTCATAATGACAAAGCAAAAACAGGTTTTTAGAAATTTTTGCAAATTTATCAAATAAAACTGAAATATTACATTTACATAAGTATACAGACCCTTTACTCAGTACTTTGTTGAAGCACCTTTGGCAGCGATTACAGCCTCGAGTCTTCTTGGGTATGACGCTACAAGCTTGGCACACCTGTATTTGGGGAGTTTCTCCCATTCTTCTCTGCAGATCCTCTCAAGCTCTGTCAGGTTGGATGGGGAGCGTCGCTGCACAGCTATTTTCAGGTCTCTCCAGAGATGTTTGATCAGGTTCAAGTCCAGGCTCTGGCTGGGCCACTCAAGGACATTCAGAGACTTGTCCTGAAGCCACTCCTGTGTTGTCTTGGCTGTGTGCGTAGGGTCGTTGTCCTGTTGGAAAGGGAACCTTCGCCCCAGTCTGAGGTCCTGAGCACTCTGGAGCAGGTTTTTATCAAGGATCTCTCTGTACTTTGCTCCATTCATCATTCCCTCGATCCTGACTAGTCTCCCAGTCCCTGCTGCTGAAAAACATCCCCACAGCATGATTCTGCCACCACCATGCTTCACCGTAGGGATGGTGCCAGGTTTCCTCCAGATGTGACGCTTGGCATTCAGGCCAAAGAGTTCAATCTTGGTTTCATCAGACCAGAGAATCTTGTTTCTCATGGTCTGAGAGTCCTTTAGGTGCCTTTTGGCAAACTCCAAGCGGGCTGTCATGTGCCTTTTACTGAGGAGTGGCTTCCATCTGGCCACTCTACCATAAAGGCCTGATTGGTGGAGTGCTGCAGAGATAGTTGGCATTCTGGAAGGTTCTCCCATCTCCACAGAGGAACTCTGGAGCTCTGTCAGAGTGACCATCAGGTTCTTGGTCACCTCCCTGACCAAGGCCCTTCTCCCCCGATTGCTCAGTTTGGCCGGGCAGCCAGCTCTAGGAAGAGTCTTGGTGGTTCCAAACTTCTTCCATTTAAGAATGATGGAGGCCACTGTGTTCTTGGGGACCTTCAATGCAGCAGACATTTTTTGGTACCCTTCCCCAGATCTGTGCCTCAACACAATCCTGTCTCGGAGCTCTACGGACAATTCCTTCGACCTCATGGCTTGGTTTTTGCTCTGACATGCACTGTCAACTGTGGGACCCTATATAGACAGGTGTTTGCCTTTCCAAATCATGTCCAATCAATTGAATTTACCACAGGTGGACTCCAATCAAGTTGTAGAAACATCTCAAAAATGATCAATGGAAACAGGATGCACATGAGCTCAATTTTGAGTCTCGTAGCAAAGGGTCTGAATACTAATGTAAATAAGGTATTTCTGTTTTTTATTTTTAATACATTTGCAAAAATGTCTAAAAATCTGTTGTTGCTTTGTCATTATGGGGTATTGTCTGTAGATTGACGATTATTATTATTTTTGTAATCCATTTTTTGAAAAAGGCTGTAACATAACAAAATGTGGAAAAAGTGAAGGGGTCTGAATGCTTTCCGAATGCACTGTACATTAAGATTCATGTACACAACAAACAAAATATCTATCGATTTGTTTATCTGCACACAGTATTATGGTGCCCTATTGAGGTGACAGTCATATAATATATACTATAATGGGGTGACAGTCATAACTATAATGGGGTGACAGTCATAACTATAATGGGGTGACAGTCATAACTATAATGGGGTGACAGTCATAACTATAATGGGGTGACAGTCATAACTATAATGGGGTGACAGTCATAACTATAATGAGGTGACAGTCATAACTATAATGAGGTGACAGTCATAACTATAATGAGGTGACAGTCATAACTATAATGAGGTGACAGTCATAATTATAATGGGGTGACAGTCATAATTATAATGGGGTGACAGTCATAATTATAATGGGGTGACAGTCATAACTATAATGGGGTGACAGTCATAACTATAATGAGGTGACAGTCATAACTATAATGAGGTGACAGTCATAACTATAATGAGGTGACAGCCATAACTATAATGGGGTGACAGTCATAACTATAATGGGGTGACAGTCATAACTATAATGAGTGCTCTCCTCCTCTCTCCTCTCTCTCCTCATCTCTTCCTCTCCTCTCTCCTCCTCTCTCCTCCTCTCTCCTCTCCTCTCCCCTCTCTCTCCTCATCTTCCCTCCTCCTCTCCCCTCCTCTCTCCTCATCTCTTCCTCTCCTCTCTCCTCCTCTCCTCTCCTCTCTCCTCATCTCTTCCTCTCCTCTCTCCTCCTCTCCCCTCTCTCTCCTCCTCTCCTCTCCTCTCTCCCCTCCTCTTCCAGTTCCATTACCCATTGAAACAGTTGGAATACTCAGCTCCCATCTATCTGCAGAGAGGCTCGCATCACATCGACTCTGCCCCCAATCTCAGACGTAAGTCTTCTGTATTCAGTATATTCACTTCTGTTGTCCTGCTTTGCCCTGGGTTAGGGTTGGGGGTTCGGGTTGGGGGTTAGGGGTTGGGGGTTAGGGTTGGGGGTTGGGGGTTAGGGGTTGGGGGTTAAGGTTAAGGTTAGGGTCTCTTCAGAATGAGGAACATATTCAGCAACTCTTAGAAAACAATAAAAGTGGACTTCAAAATATTGCTTCTTTATTGCTAAGACCAGTTGTGTGTTGTGTTGTCCTACAGTGCAGCTTTATGACCAGTTGTGTGTTGTGTTGTCCCACAGTGCAGCTCTGTGACCAGTGGTGTGTTGTGTTGTCCCCCCCCCCAAATTGTAAAGTGGTTATCCCACTGGCTATAGGGTGAACGCACCAATTTGTGAGTCGCTCTGGCTAAGAGCGTCTGCTAAATGACGTTAATGTGCCCTTGAGCAAGGCACTTAACCCTAATTGCTCCTGTAAGTCGCTCTGGTTAAGAGCGTCTGCTAAATGACTAAAATGTAAATGTAAATGTAAATGTCCCACAGTGCAGCTCTATGACCAGTTGTGTGTTGTGTTGTCCCACAGTGCAGCTCTGTGACCAGTTGTGTGTTGTGTTGTCCCACAGTGCAGCTTTATGACCAGTTGTGTGTTGTGTTGTCCCACAGTGCAGCTTTATGACCAGTTGTGTGTTGTGTTGTCCCACAGTGCAGCTCGGTGACCAGTTGTGTGTTGTGTTGTGTTGTCCCACAGTGCAGCTTTATGACCAGTTGTGTGTTGTGTTGTGTTGTCCCACAGTGCAGCTTTATGACCAGTTGTGTGTTGTGTTGTGTTGTCCCCAAGTGGTCAGCTTTATGACCGAGTTTGTGTTTGTTGTGGTGTGTTGTCCCCACAGTGCAGCTCTGTGACCAGTTGGGTGGTTGTGTTGTCCCACAGTGCAGCTTTAATGACGCAGTTGTGTGTTGTGTTGTGGTTGTCCCCACCAGTTGCAGCTTTAATGACCAGTTGTGTGTTGTGGTTGTCCCACAGTGGCAGCCTTTATACCAGGTTTGTGTGTTTGTGTTGTCCCACAGTGCAGCTTATGACCAGTTGTGTGTTGTGTTTGTCCCACAGTGCAAGCTCTATGACCAGTTGTGTGTTGTGTTGTGTTGTCCCCACAGTGCAGCTTTAATGCCAGTTGTTTGTTGTGTTGTCCACAGTGCAGCTTTATGAGCCCAGTTTGTGTGTTGTGTTGTGTTTGTCCCCACAAGTGGCAAGCTTTATGACCAGTGTTGTGGTTGTGTTGGTGTTGTCGTCCACACAGTGCAGCTTTATGACCAGTTGTGTGTTGTGTTGTGTTGTCCCACAGTGCAGCTTTATGACCAGTTGTGTGTTGTGTTGTGTTGTCCCACAGTGCAGCTTTATGACCAGTTGTGTGTTGTGTTTGTCCCACAGTGCAGCTCTATGACCAGTTGTGTGTTGTGTTGTGTTGTCCCACAGTGCAGCTTTATGACCAGTTGTGTGTTGTGTTGTCCCACAGTGCAGCTTTATGGCCAGTTGTGTGTTGTGTTGTCCCACAGTGCAGCTTTATGACCAGTTGTGTGTTGTGTTGTGTTGTCCCACAGTGCAGCTCTATGACCAGTTGTGTGTTGTGTTGTCCCACAGTGCAGCTCTGTGACCAGTTGTGTGTTGTGTTGTCCCACAGTGCAGCTTTATGACCAGTGTGTGTGTTTGTGTGTTGTCCCACAGTGCAGCTCTGTGACCAGTTGTGTGTTGTGTTGTCCCACAGTGCAGCTTTATGACCAGTGTGTGTTGTGTTGTGTTGTCCCACAGTGCAGCTTTATGACCAGTTGTGTTTGTGTTGGTTTTTCCCCCGTGCAGCTCTTTACCATTTGTGTTTTTGTCCCACAGGCAGCTTTTTTGACCAGTGGTGTTTTTTTGTGTTGTCCCACAGTGCAGCTCTGTGACCAGTTGTGTTTGTGTTGTCCCATGCCTTTATACCTTTTGGGGTTTGGTTTTTGTGTTTTTTTCCCCAGTCGCTTTGCCAGTTTTTGGGGTTGTGTTTTCCCCAGTGCCTTTAAATACCAGTTGTGTGTTTGGGTTTTTCCCCCCATGCAATTTATGCCCTTTTTTTGTTGTTTTGTCCCCACGTGCACTCGTACCATTGTGTGTTGTGTTGTCCCACGGCACTCTTGACCATTTTTTGGGTTGTTTTCCACAGGCAGCTTTTTGACCAGTTTGTGTTGTTTTGTGTTGTCCCACTGCGCTATGTGACCATTTTTTGTGTTGTGTTGTCCCAAGTGCCGCTTTTTATGACCAGTTGGGGGTTTTTTGTTGTTCCCCAGTGCAACTTTAAAACCAGTTTTTGGTTGTGTTGTCCCCCCCAGTGCAGCTCGTGACCAGTTGTGTGTTTTTTTTGTCCCACGGCAGCTCTGGACCATTGTGTTTGTGTTTTCCCACATGCAACTTTAAAAGGCCCTTGTGTGTTGTGTTTCCCCCAATGCGCTTTATGACCATTGTGTGTTGTGTTTTTTTTTGTCCCACGTGCAAACTTTATGACCCTTTTTTTGTTTTGGTTTTTTGTTTTGTCCCACAGGCAGCTTTTTTGCCAGTGTGGTTGTGTTTGTTTTCCCCATGCAGCTTGTACCAGTTTTTTTGTTTGTTTTGTCCCACGTGCAGCTTATACCAGTTTGTGTTTTGTTTTTGTTGTCCCACATGCAGCTTGTGACCAGTTTTTTTGTTTGTCCCATGGGGAGCTTTAGACCAGTTTGTGGGTTTTGTTTGTTTTTCCCACAGGGGGCTTTTGTGCCAGTTTTTTTGTGTTTTTTGGTCCCCCCAGTGCAGCTCTTACCAGTTGTGTTTTTTTGTCCCCAGTGCACCTATGACCTTGTTTGTTGTGTTGTGTTGCCCCAAAATGCAACTTTATGCCAGTTTTTTGGTTTTTTTGTCCAATGCAGCTTATGGCCAGTTTTTTGTGTTGTGTTTTTTTGTCCCACAGTGCCTTTTTGTGACCATTTGTTTTTGGTTTTCCCACGGCACTCTATGACCAGTTTGTGTTGTGTTGTCCCACTGCAGCTTTAGACCCGTTGTGGTTTTTTTGTCCCAATGCAGCTTTTACCAGTTGTTGTTTGTTTTGCCCCCCTGCAGCTTTAGCCCTTGGTGTTTTTGTTGTCCCACAGTGCACTCTGTACCATTGTGGGGGTTGTGTTTTTCCCCCATGGGGGCTCTATGACCATTTGTGTTTTTTTTGTTTTGTCCCAATCAGCTTTATGCCATTTTGGGTTTTGTTGTCCCCAGTGCATCATTACCATTTTTTTGTTTGTTTTCCCACAGTCGCTTTGACCATTTGTGTTTTGTGTTTCCCACAGTGCAACTTTTGACCATTTGTGTTTGTGTTGTCCCACATGCACTTTATACCAGTTTTTGTGTTGTGTTGTCCCACAGGGCAGCCTGTACCTTTGGTTTTTTTGGTTTTTTCCCACATGCAGCTCTATGGCCATTTGTTTGTGTTGTTTTGTCCCACATGCAGCTTTATGACCATTGTGGTTTTTTGTTGTCCCCCCCGTGCAGCCTAACCAGTTTTTGTTTGTTGTCCCACAGTGCGCTTTAGACCAGTTTTGTGTTGTTTTTGTCCCACATGCAGCTCGGGACCGTTGTGGTTTGTTTTGTTGTCCCACAGTGCAGCTTTTTGACCCTTTTTTGTGTTTTGTTTCCCAAATCCCTTTATACCATTTTTTTTGTGGGGGGTTTTTCCCCAGTGCAGCTTATACCTTGTGTGTTGTGTTTTCCCACAGTGCGCTTTAAACCTTTGTTGTTTTGGTTTTTCCCCCCAGTGCAGCCCTATACCAGTTGTGTGGTTTTTTTTGGTTTTCCCCCCATCGCTTTAAAAGGCCATTTTTTTGGGTGTGTTGTGTTTTCCCCCCCATGCAGCTTTAAAAGACCGTTGTGTGTTTTTTTGTTTTTTTTGTCCCCATGCAGCTTTATGACCAGTTTGTGTTTTGTTTTGTGTTGTCCCACAGTGCAGCTTTAGACCATTTTGTGTTTTTGGTTGTTTTTCCCACAGTGCGCTTTTTTACCGTTGTGGGGTTTTTTTGTCCCACATGCGCTTTATGACCATTTGTGTGTTTTTGTTTTTTCCCACAGTGCAGCTCTATGACCATTTTTTGTTGTGTTGTGTTTTTGTCCCACAGTGCAGCTTTATGACCATTTTTGGTTTTGGTTTTTTCCCCCATGCACTTTTTGGCCATTTTTTTGTTGTTGGTCCCACAGTCAGCTTTTTGACCATTGTGTGTTGTGTTTTGTTTCCCACAGTGCAGCTCTATACCCGTTGTGTTTGTGTTGTCCCACAGTGCAGCTCTGTGACCATTGTGTGTTGTGTTGTCCCCACATCACTTTATGACCAGGGTGTTGTTTGTTTTGTCCCCCATGCAGCTCTGTGACCAGGGTTTTTGGTTTTTTGTTGCCCACATGCACTTTTTACCTGTTGTTGTGTTGTTGTCCCACATGCAACTTTATACCAGTGTGTTTGTTTGTTTGTCCCACAGTGCAGCTCTGTGACCATTTTTTGTGTTTTTTTTCCCCATGCGCTTTATGACCCTGGTGTTGTTTGTGTTGCCCCGTGAGCCTGTACCGTTGTTGTTTTTTTGTCCCACAGTTGCAGCTTTATGACCAGTTTTTTGTTTGTGTTTTTTTGTCCCCCCCTGCAGCTTGGACCATTTTTTGTGTTGTGTTTTTTCCCCATTCAGCTTATGACCAGTTTGTGTGTTTGTTTGTCCCACATGCAACTTATGACCATTTTGTTGTTGTGTTGTCCCCTGCAAACTCGTGACCATTTTTGTGTTTTGGGTTTGTCCCCCCGTGCACTCTGTGACCATTGTGTGTTGTGTTTCCCACAGTGGGAGCTTTATGACCTTTTTTGTGTTTGGGGTTTTGTTTGTCCCACATGCAGCTATGTGACCGTGTGTGTTTGGTTTTTTTCCCACAGTGCAGCTTTATACCTTGTGTGTTGTGTTTCCCCCCAGTGCAACTTTATGACCAGTTGTGTGTTGTTTGCCCCCCGTAGCCTGGACCATTTGTGGGTTTTTGTTTTCCCAAGGCGCTCTGTGCCCCTTTTTTGTGTTTGTTTTTTCCCCGTGCAAATTTTTTGGGCCTTTGTGGGTTTTGTTTCCCCAATGCACTTTATACCATTGGTGTTGTGTTTTTTTTCCCACTGCACTTTAGCCCCTTGTGTGTTGTTTTGTTGTCCCACAGTACTTTTACCAGTGTGTTTTTTTGTGTTTTCCCAAGTGGCACCTGTGACCGTTGTGTGTTGTGTTTTTCCCCCAGTGGGACTTTAGAAAACCCGTTGTGGTTGTGTTGTGTTTTTTCCCCATGCAGCTCTGTGACCGTTGGTGGGGTTTTGGGTTTTTTCCCCATGCGCTTTATACCGTTTTGGGGTTTTGTTTTTGTTTGCCCACAGGCGCTTGTGACCATTGTGTGTTTTTTTGTTGCCCCCAAAAAGTGCAGCTCTGTGACCATTTTGTGTTTGTTTTCCCACAGTGCACCTATGACCAGTTTTTGTGTTTGTTTGTGTTGTCCCACAGTGCGCTTTATGAACCAGTTGGGGGTTTGGGTTTTTTCCCAAGTGCGCTTTTTTTGGGCCCGTTTTTTTTTGTTGTGTTTTGTTTTCCCACAGTGCAGCTCTGTGACCATTTGTGGTTGTTTGTCCCACAGTGCACCTATGAACCATTTGTGTTGTGTTTCCCCAGTGCAGCTTTTTTGACCATTTGGTTTTGTTGTCCCACAGTGACTTTTTGACCAGTTTTTGGTTTGTTTTGTCCCCTGCAGCTTTTTTTACCATTTGTGTTTTTGTGTTTTCCCACAGTGCAGCTCTTGACCCGGGGTTTTGTGTTGTTTTTTCCCCCCAGTCAGCCTATGACCAGTTGTGTGTTGTGTGGTTTCCCCAGTGCAGCTTTATGACCCTTGTGGTTGTGGTTGTCCCCCCACACTCTATGACCCCTTTGTGTTGTGTTTCCCACAGTGCGCTTTATGACCCTTTTTTTTGGTTGTTTTTCCCCCCCTGCAGCTTTTGACCGTTGTGTTTTTGTTTTTCCCCCCCAGTCACTTTATACCAGGTTTTTGTTTGTTTTTTTCCCCAGTGCAGCTCTGTGACCAGTTTTTTGTGTTTTTTTTTTCCCCATGCAGCTCTAACCAGTTGTTTGTTGTTTTTTTTTGTCCCCCCAGGCGCTTTATGACCTTGTGTGTTTTTGGGTTTCCCCACATGCACCTAGACCCTTGTGGGGTTTTTGGTTTTTCCCCCCGTGCGTTTATGACCAGTTTTTGTTTTGTTTGTCCCCCAGTGCACTCGGGAAACCATTTGTGTTTTGTGTTTTTTGGTTTCCCCCTGCAGCTTTTTGACCATTTGTGTTTTTTGTTGTCCCCCCGTGCAGCTTTAAAGCCATTTGTGTTGTGTTTTCCCCCCATGCAGCTTTATACCATTTTGTGTTTTTTTTTGCCCACGTGCAGCTTTAGACCAGTTTTGTTTGTGTTGGGGCCCCCCCAGTGCAGCTCGTGACCCCTTTTTTGTTTTGTTTTGTTTTTCCCCACATCGCTCTATACCATTTTTTGTTTGTGTTGTGTTGTCCCACGTGCAGCTTTATGACCTTGTGTTTTTGTTGTGTTTTTTCCCCCCGTAAAACTTTATTACCAGTTTGGGGTTTTTTGGGTTTTTTTTCCCACAGTGCCTTTGGGACCATTTGTGTGTTTTGTTTCCCAATGCGCTTATGACCAGTTTTGTGGTTGTGTTTTTCCCACATTTTCACTCTATGACCATTGTGTGTTGTGTTGTCCCCCCGTGCCTCTGTACCAGTTTGGGGGTTTTGTGTTTTTCCCACAGTGAGCTCTATCCCTTGTGTTTGTTTGTGTTTTCCCACAATGCAGCTTTTTTGACCAGTTTTTGTGTTGTGTTGTGTTGTCCCCCCAGTGCCTCTGGACCATTTGTTTTTTTGTCCCCAGTGCGCTTTTATGCCCCTTGTGTTTTTTTTTGTCCCCCCGTGAGCTCTGTACCAGTTTTTGTGTTTGTGTTGTCCCACATGCAGCTTATGACCAGTTTTTGTTTGTGTTTTTTGTTGTCCCACATGCAGCTTTTTTACCAGTTTTGTGTTGTTTTGTGTTTTTCCCACATGCAGCTTTATGACAGTGTGGGTTGTGTTTGTTGTCCCACGTGCAGCTCTTGACCAGTTGTTGTTTTTTTTCCCACAGTGCAGCTTTAGCCATTGTGTGTTTTTTGTCCCCCCGTGCAGCTCTGTGACCGTTTTTTTGTTGGGTTTTCCCACAGTGGCAGCCTATTTACCGTTTTTTTGTTTTTGTGTTGTCCCCACGTGCAGCTCATGCCATTGGGGTGTTTTTGTTGTCCCACGTGCAGCTCTATGACCATTTGTTTTGGGTTTTTCCCCCCAGTGCACTCTATGACCATTTTTTGTTGTGTTGTTTTTTCCCCCCATGCCTTTATACCATTTTTTGTTTGTTTTTCCCACATGCGCTTTTGACCAGTGTGGGTTTGGTTGTGTTGTCCCCCTGCAGCTCTGTGACCAGTTGTGTGTTGTGTTTTTCCCCCCAGTGCAGCTCTAGACCAGTTTGTGTTTTTTTTCCCCAGTGCGCTCTGTGACCATTTTGTGTTTGTTTGTCCCACGTGCAGCTTCTATGACCAGTTGTGGTTTTTTTTCCCCAGTGCACTCTGCCATTGTGTGGTTGGTTTTTCCCCCCAGTGCAGCCTATGACCATTTTGGGGTTTTTGTTTGTCCCACAGTGCACCTATACCTTTGTGTGTTGTGTTTTTTCCCCAGTGCCTTTTTATGACCCCTTGTGTGTTGTGTTGTGTTGTCCCCAGTGCAGCTTTATACCAGTTGTGTGTTGGGTTTTTTGTTTTTCCCCCCTGCAGCTCTTGACCCGTTGGGGTTTTTTGTTTGTCCCACAGTGCAGCTCTGTGACCAGTTGTGTGTTTTTTCCCCCCTGCACTTTTACCCGTTGTGTGTTTGTGTTTCCCCCCGTCACTCTGTGACCAGTTTGTGTTTTGTTTGTCCCACGTGCAGCTTATGAACCCTTGTTGTTTTGTTTTTTTTGTCCCAATGCGCTTTACCAGTTTTTTGTGTTGTGTTTTTTTTGGTTGTCCCACAGGGGGCCCTTTATACCCTTGTGTGTTTTTTTTTGTGTTTCCCAAATCAGCTTTTTAAACCATTGTGTGTTGTTTGTCCCCCAGTGCACTTTATGACCAGTTGTGTGTTGTGTTGTCCCCAGTGCAGCTTATACCAGTGGGGTGTTTGTTGTTTGTCCCACAGTGCAGCTCTATACCTTGTTGTTGTGTTGTGTTTTTTCCCCGGCAGCTTTATGACCGTTGTGTGTTTTTGTTTTCCCACATGCAGCTTTATGACCATTTGGTTGTGTTTTTGTTGTCCCACAGTGCCGCTCTGTGACCATTGTGTGTTTGTTTTTCCCACATGCAGCTCTATACCATTTTTTGTGTTGGTTTGTCCCACAGTGCACTCGTGACCATTGTGTGTTGTGTTTTTGTCCCCAGTGGGGAGCTTTTATGACCAGTGTGTTTTTTTTTTGGGCCCACATGCATCCCCTTACCATTTTTTGTGTTGTTTGTGTTGTCCCACGTGCAGCTTTTGCCATGTTGTTGTGTTTGTTTTTTCCCACAGTGCGCTCTGTCCAGTTGGGGTTTTGTTTTCCCCCCCAGTGCAGCTTTAAAAAGACCAGTTGTGTGTTTTTTTGTTGGTTTGTCCCCCAGTGCCTCTAGACCGTTGTGTGTTGTTTTTGTGTTTTTTCCCCCCAGGCAGCTTTATGACCAGTTGTTTGTTTTGCCCCCTGCCGCTCTTACCAGTTTTGTTGTTTGTGTTGTTTTTGTCCCCCCGTGCGCTTTTTGGCCGTTTGGGGTGTTTTGTTTTGCCCCCTCCTTTTGCCCTTGTGTGTTTTGTGTTTCCCACCGTGCAGCTTTATGCCAGTTGTGTGTTTTTTTGTTTGTCCCCCCTCCTTTTTGGGCCGTTTTTTTTTTGTTTTCCCCGTGCACTCTGTACCCCTTTTTTTTGTTGTGTTGTCCCCCAGGCAGTTTTGACCAGTTGTGGTTGTTTGTCCCACGTGCACTTTATGACCGTTGTGGTTGTGTTGTTTGGGGCCCCCACATGCACTTTAGACCCGTTGTGTTTGGTTTTTTTCCCACAGTGCGCTTATGACAGTTGTGTGTTTTGTTTTTTGTCCCACGTGCAGCTTTATGACCTTGGTGTTGTTTGGTTTGTTGTCCCACGTGCAGCTTTATCCAGTTTTTGGGTTTTGGTTTGTCCCCCATGCATTTATGGGCCCTTTTTTTGTTTGTGTCCCAGGAGCTTTATGACCAGTTTGTGGTTTGTGTTGTGTTGTCCCACAGTTGCAGCTTTATGACCAGTTGTGTGTTGTGTTGTGTTGTCCCACAGTGCAGCTTTATGACCAGTTGTGTGTTGTGTTGTGTTGTCCCACAGTGCAGCTCTATGACTGTTCTGTGGGCCAGTCTGACTGTAGTCAGTGCAGAGCGGTGCCGTCAGAGTACGGCTGTGTCTGGTGTGGAGGAGAGTCCCCCGGCTGTGTCTACAACCTCTCCTGTACCAGCTCACCTGGGCCGGCCGACACCTGCCCCCCGCCTCAGATCACACAGGTAGGGTACTTACACTACCAGTCAAAAGGCTGGACACATTCAAGGGTTTTTCTTTATTTTTCTACATTGTAGAATAATAGTGAAGACATCAAAACTATGAAATAACACATATGGAATCATGTAGTAACCAAAAAAAGTGTCAAACAAATCAAAATATATTTTATATTTGAGATTCTTCAAATAGCCACCCTTTGCCTTGATGACAGCTTTGCACTCTCTTGGAATTCTCTCAACCAGCTTGACCTGGAATGCTTTTTCCAACAGTATTGAAGGAGTTCACACATATGCTGAGCACTTGTTGGCTGTTTTTCCTTCACTCTGCGGTCCAACTCATCCCAAACCATCTCAATTGGGTTGAGGTCAGGTGATTGTGGAGGCCAGGTCATCTGATGCAGCACTCCATCACTCTCCTTCTTGGTAAAATAGCCCTTACACAGTCTGGAGGTGTGTTGGGTCATTGTCCTGTTGAAAAACAAATGATAGTCCCACTAAGCCCAAACCAGATGGGATGGTGTATCGCTGCAGAATGCTGTGGTAGCCATGCTGGTTAAGTGTGCCTTGAATTCTAAATAAATCACTGACAGTGTCACCAGCAAAGCACCCCCACACCATCACACCTCCTCCTCCATGCTTCACGGTGAGAACCACACATGCGGAGATCATCTGTTCACCTACTCTGCGTCTCACAAAGACACAGCGGTTGGAACCAAAAATCTCTAATTTGGACTCATCAGACCAAAGGACAGATTTCCACGGGTCTAATGTCCATTGCTCGTGTTTCTTGACCCAAGCAAGTCTCTTCTTGTTATTGGTGTCCTTTAGTAGTGGTTTCTTTGCAGCAATTCAACCATGAAGGCCTGATTCAAGCAGGCTCCTCTGAACAGTTGATGTTGAGATGTGTCTGTTACTTGAACTCTGTGAAGCATTTATTTGGCCTGCAATTTCTGAGGCTGGTAACTCTAATGAACTTATCCTCTGCAGCAGAGGTAACTCTGGGTCTTCCTTTCCTGTGGCGGTCCTCATGAGAGCCAGTTTCATCATAGCGCTTGATGGTTTTTGCGACTGCACTTAAAGAAACTTTCAAAGTTCTTGATATTTTCCGGATTGACTGACCTTTGTGTCTTAAAGTAATGATGGACTGTAATTTCTCTTTGCCTATTTGAGCTGTTCTTGCCATAATATGGACTTGGTCTTTTACCAAATAGGGCTATCTTCTGTATACCCCCCCTACCTTGTCACAACACAACTGATTGGCTCAAACGCATTAAGAAGGAAAGAAATTCCACAAACTTTTAACAAGGCACACCTGTTAATTGAAATGCATTCCAGGTGACTACCCCATGAAGCTGGTTGAGAGAATGCCAAGAGTGTGCAAAGCTGTCATCATGGCAAAGGGTGGCTACTTTGAAGAATCTCAAATATAAAATATATTTTGATTTGTTTGACACTTTTTTTGGTTACTACATGATTCCATATGTGTTAGGATGGGTTGTTAATATGATGTGACTCGGATGGGTTGTTAATATGATGGGTTGTTAATATGATGTGACTATAGGATGGGTTGTTAATATGATGTGGCTATAGGATGGGTTGTTAATATGATGTGGCTATAGGATGGGTTGTTAATATGATGTGACTATAGGATGGGTTGTTAATATGATGTGGCTATAGGATGGGTTGTTAATATGATGTGGCTATAGGATGGGTTGTTAATATGATGTGGCTATAGGATGGGTTGGTTAATATGATGTGGCTATAGGATGGGGTTGTTAATATGATGTGGCTATAGAATGGGTTGTTAATATGATGTGACTATAGGATGGGTTGTTAATATGATGTGGCTATAGGATGGGTTGTTAATATGATGGGTTGTTAATATGATGGGTTGTTAATATGATGTGGCTATAGGATGGGTTGTTAATATGATGTGGCTATAGGATGGGTTGTTAATATGATGTGGCTATAGGATGGGTTGTTAATATGATGGGTTGTTAATATGATGTGACTATAGGATGGGTTGTTAATATGATGTGGCTATAGGATGGGTTGTTAATATGATGTGACTATAGGATGGGTTGTTAATATGATGTGACTATAGGATGGGGTTGTGTAATATGATGTGGCTATAGGATGGGTTGTTAATATGACTGTGGCTATAGGATGGGTTGTTAATATGATGTTGACTATAGGATGGGTTGTTAATATGATGTGGCTATAGGATGGTTGTAATAGGATGGGGTTGTAATATGATGTGACTATAGGATGGGTTGTTTAATATGATGTGGCTATAGGATGGGTTGTTAATATGATGGTTTGTTAATATGATGTGACTATAGGATGGGTTGTTAATATGATGTGGCTATAGGATGGGGTTGTTAATATGATGTGACTCGGATGGGTTGTTAATATGATGTGGCTATAGGATGGGTTGTTAATATGATGTGACTATAGGATGGGTTGTTAATATGATGGGTTGTTAATATGATGTGGCTATAGGATGGGTTGTTAATATGATGTGACTGTAGGATGGGTTGTTAATATGATGGGTTGTTAATATGATGTGGCTATAGGATGGGTTGTTAATATGATGGGTTGTTAATATGATGTGGCTATAGGATGGGTTGTTAATATGATGTTACTATAGGATGGGTTGTTAATATGATGTTACTATAGGATGGGTTGTTAATATGATGTGGCTATAGAATGGGTTGTTAATATTATGATGGGTTGTTAATATGATGTGGCTATAGGATGGGTTGTTAATATGATGTTACTATAGGATGGGTTGTTAATATGATGTTACTATAGGATGGGTTGTTAATATGATGTGGCTATAGGATGGGTTGTTAATATGATGGGTTGTTAATATGATGTGACTATAGGATGGGTTGTTAATATGATGGGTTGTTAATATGATGTGACTATAGGATGGGTTGTTAATATAATGTGGCTATAGAATGGGTTGTTAATATGATGTGGCTATAGGATGGGTTGTTAATATGATGTGGCTATAGGATGGGTTGTTAATATTATGGGTTGTTAATATGATGTGACTATAGGATGGGTTGTTAATATGATTTGGCTATAGGATGGGTTGTTAATATGATGTGGCTATAGGATGGGTTGTTAATATGATGTGACTATAGGATGGGTTGTTAATATGATGGGTTGTTAATATTATGTGGCTATAGGAGGGGTTGTTAATATGATGTGACTATAGGATTGGTTGTTAATATGATGTGGCTATAGGATGGGTTGTTAATATGATGGGTTGTTAATATGATGTGGCTATAGGATGGGTTGTTAATATGATGGGTTGTTAATATGATGGGTTGTTAATATGATGGGTTGTTAATATGATGTGGCTATAGGATGGGTTGTTAATATGATGGGTTGTTAATATGATGTGGCTATAGGATGGGTTGTTAATATGATGTGACTATAGGATGGGTTGTTAATATGATGGGTTGTTAATATGATGTGGCTATAGGATGGGTTGTTAATATGATGTGACTATAGGATGGGTTGTTAATATGATGGGTTGTTAATATGATGTGGCTATAGGATGGGTTGTTAATATGATGGGTTGTTAATATGATGTGGCTATAGGATGGGTTGTTAATATGATGTGGCTATAGGATGGGTTGTTAATATGATGTGGCTATAGGATGGGTTGTTAATATGATGTGGCTATAGGATGGGTTGTTAATATGATGTGGCTATAGGATGGGTTGTTAATATGATGTGGCTATAGGATGGGTTGCCTATGATTTCAATGGCATATGAGGAAGTCTTTATAAAAGAATTGCGTCCATGTTTCTATGGTGGGATTTAGGCTCTACTTTGAAGGTAAGACACGCCTTATACTATGAAGTAAAATGTTAAGGTTTCACACAATGAAGTATTGGTCTATGTTTTTCATATTGGCTCCAACAGCTCACATTGCAAAGTGGTGGGTGACTGACATTCTGATGGCCTGCCTACCGTTGGATTTGAATGGGAATGGGAGGTGTGCTTCAATTACCAGTTGATAAATAAAAATAGTAGCTTTTTTTTAGTCGTGGCCATCAAAACAGTTTTTAACACGTGATTGTTTTTAATACGTTTGTAATTGTTGTGCAATGAATAGGGCTTGTAAAAGCACGTTTCACTCCAGCAGCAAAGAGCTGTTTAGGGGCTGCTCTCGCACTGTTTGTATGCTGGAGCTCTGAATGCCGGAGCTCTGAATGCCGGAGCTCTGTATGCTGGAGCTCTGAATGCTGGAGCTCTGAATGCCGGAGCTCTGTATGCTGGAGCTCTGAATGCTGGAGCTCTGAATGCCGGAGCTCTGAATGCTGGAGCTCTGTATGCTGGAGCTCTGTATGCTGGAGCTCTGAATGCCGGAGCTCTGAATGCTGGAGCTCTGAATGCTGGAGCTCTGAATGCCGGAGCTCTGTATGCTGGAGCTCTGTATGCTGGACAATTTGGCCGTCAACCAGATTTTTTTATCGGCTTTCCATGATTTTCTATCCGCCAAAAGCCGGCAATTACCAGATAACGGAAACCCTGATGCACAGGGACCCACACACTTCTGTTAACACCTTTTTATGTTGTGAAGCATTGTGGGTGCTCTGGGCTGTTCTCAGGTCCACTGTGTGCTGCTCTCCACAACTTTTAATCAAGCTTTTAACAGATGGTTCAGAAAGGGTTATTCATTTATTGTCCTGCTCCCATTAGGGCTGGGCAATATATCAAATTAATTCGATTCATTTGAATGTATGTTTTTGCGCGATATTCCAAATGTCTGTATCGCAGAATCACATTTTTTTTTTTTTTTCATTTTTCTGAGCGTTTATGTCTGCTTGTTCTCATGTTGTCTTTATGGTCTCATCTCCTTCGCTCCTCTGTGCTGTGCTCCTTGCCATTTACACCAGAGATCTGTATATAATGAAGAGATGCTCCTTCCCATTTACACCAGAGATCTGTATATAATGAAGAGATGCACCTTCCCATTTACACCAGAGATCTGAATATAATGAAGAGATGCTCCTTCCCATTTACACCAGAGATCTGAATATAATGGTTCAAAATAAGGTTCAAAATAAGACCATAGAAACTCATTGGGCTTATTTTGGACAGATTTGAGCGACAGTGGAACCTCTCGCTTCACCTCTTTCTCCCAAGCCCCTCCCCCTGCCACTCACAACAACAAAGATGAAAGATCACTTCTTCCTTTCTGACAACAAGCAGGTTCAAGTCACTATGAGCATTTGAGGTTTGGTCCAACAGAATCGGTCATATGGACACTGACATTATTTTACTGGAGTAGATGAGAAGGTAACCTTTCGAACCATTCCCTGTTTATGTTTCAACTCCTCACATTTCGAGCAGAGCAGACACTACTAAAACGGATGTACCAATAATGAACATTCATTCTGGAAAATGTATGCTCAGTTTAGAACTTTTTGGTAAAAACTCAACTCGTCGTGTTTGGAGGACAAAGAATGCTGAGTTGCATCCAAAGAACACCATATCTACTGTGAAGCATGGGGGTGGAAACATCATGCTTTGGGGCTGTTTTTCTGCAAAGGGACCAGGACGACTGATCCGTGTAAAGGAAAGAATGAATGGGGCCATGTATCGTGAGATTTTGAGTGAAAACCTCCTTCCATCAGCAAGGGCATTGAAGATGAAACGTGGCTGGGTCTTTCAGCATGACAATGATCCCAAACACACCCCCCGGGCAACGAAGGAGTGGCTTCGTAAGAAGCATTTCAAGGTACTGGAGTGGCCTAGCCAGTCTCCAGATCTCAACCCCATAGAAAATCTTTGGAGGGAGTTGAAAGTCCGTGTTGCCCAGCGACAGCCCCAAAACATCACTGCTCTAGAGGAGATCTGCATGGAGGAATGGGCCAAAATACTAGCAACAGTGTGTGAAAACCTTGTGAAGACTTACAGAAAACGTTTGACCTGTGTCATTGCCAACAAAGGGTATATAACAAAGTATTGAGAAACTTTTGTTATTGACCAAATACTTATTTTCCACCATAATTTGCAAATAAATTCATTAAACATCCTACAATGTGATTTTCTGGATTTATTTTCCTCATTTTGTCTGTCATAGTTGACATGTACCTATGATGAAAATTACAGGCCTCTCTCATCTTTTTAAGTGGGAGAACTTGCACAATTGGTGGCTGACTAAATACTTTTTTCCCCCACTGTATATTCAGCCTAGGTATAATTTCACAAGCTGTGAATTCATTAGATTATTGCTGACTGTTTTAAATGCAGTGTATTTGACCTTGTACAACAAAGCTTTTTTACAGAAAACATTTACAAAATCGAGATATATATCGTGAATCGCCCATAAGTTTGAAAAATTTGAGATATGAGTTTTAGGCTATAGCGCCCAGCCCCATGCTATCCAGTGTTTTATTTAAACCCCTCTCTCCCCCTGTCCCTGTCAGATCAATTTAAACCTCTCTCTCCCCCTGTCCCTGTCCCTGTCAGATCAATTTAAACCCCTCTCTCCCCCTGTCCCTGTCCCTATCAGATCAATTTAAACCCCTCTCTCCCCCTGTCCCTGTCAGATCAATTTAAACCCCTCTCTCCCCCTGTCCCTGTCAGATCAATTTAAACCTCTCTCTCCCCCTGTCCCTGTCCCTGTCAGATCAATTTAAACCTCTCTCTCCCCCTGTCCCTGTCCCTATCAGATCAATTTAAACCCCTCTCTCCCCCTGTCCCTGTCCCTATCAGATCAATTTAAACCCCTCTCTCCCCCCTGTCCCTGTCCCTGTCAGATCAATTTAAACCCTCTCTCCCCCCTGTCCCTGTCCCTATCAGATCAATTTAAACCCCTCTCTCCCCTGTCCCTGTCCCTATCAGATCAATTTAAACCCCTCTCTCCCCCTGTCCCTGTCCCTAGTCAGATCAATTTAAACCCCTCTTCTCCCCCTGTCCCTGTCCCTATCAGATCAATTTAAAAACCCCTCCTCTCCCCCTGTCCCTGTCCCTATCAGATCAATTTAAACCCCTCTCTCCCCCCTGTCCCTGTTCCCTGTCAGATCAATTTAAACCCCTCTCCCCCCCTGTCCCTGTCCCTGTCAGATCAATTTAAACCCCTCTCCTCCCCCTTCCCTATCCCTATCAGATCAATTTAAAAACCCCTCTCTCCCCCTGTCCCTGTCCCTATCAGATCAATTTAAAACCCCCTCTCCTCCCCCTGTCCCTGTCTCTGTCAGATCAATTTAAACCCCTGCTCCTCCCCCCTGTCCCTGTCCCTATCAGATCAATTTAAACCCCTCTCTCCCCCTGTCCCTGTCCCTATCAGATCAATTTAAACCCCTCTCTCCCCCTGTCCCTGACCCTATCAGATCAATTTAAACCCCTCTCTCCCCCTGTCCCTGTCTCTGTCAGATCAATTTAAACCCCTCTCTCCCCCTGTCCCTGTCCCTATCAGATCAATTTAAACCCCTCTCTCCCCCTGTCCCCTATCAGATCAATTTAAACCCCTCTCTCCCCCTGTCCTATCATCAATTTCAAACCCCTCTCTCCCCCTTCCCTGTCCCTATCAGATCAATTTAAACCCTCTCTCCCCCCCTGTCCCCTGTCCCTATCAGATCAATTTAAACCCCTCTCTCCCCCTGTCCCTGTCCCTATCAGAATCAAGTTAAACCCCTCTCTCTCCCCCTGCTCCTGTCCCTATCAGATCAATTTAAACCCCTCTCTCCCCCCTGGTCCCTGTCCCTATCAGATCAATTTAAAACCCCTCTCTCCCCCCTGTCCCTGTCCCTAATCAGATCAATTTAAAACCCCTCTCTCCCCCTGTCCCTGGTCCCTATCAGATCAATTAAACCCCTCTCTCCCCCTGTCCCTATCAGATCAATTTAAACCCCTCTCTCCCCCTGTCCCTGTCAGATCAATTTAAACCCCTCTCTCCCCCTGTCCCTGACCCTATCAGATCAATTTAAACCCCTCTCTCTCCCCCTGTCCCTGTCCCTGTCAGATCAATTTAAACCCCTCTCTCCCCCCTGTCCCTGTTCCTATCAGATCAATTTAAACCCCTCTCTCCCCCTGTCCCTGTCCCTATCAGATCAATTTAAACCCCTCCCTCCCCCTGTCCCTATCAGATCAATTTAAACCCCTCTCTCCCCCTGTCCCTGTCAGATCAATTTAAACCCCCTCTCTCCCCCTGTCCCTGTCCCTATCAGATCAATTTAAAACCCCTCTCTCCCCCCTGTCCCTATCAGATCAATTTAAACCCCTCTCTCCCCCCTGTCCCTGTCCCTATCAGATCAATTTAAAACCCCTCTCTCCCCCTGTCCCTGACCCTATCAGATCAATTTAAACCCCTCTCTCCCCCTGTCCCTGTCAGATCAATTTAAACCCCTCTCTTCCCCTGTCCCTGTCCCTATCAGATCAATTTAAACCCCTCTCTCCCCCTGTCCCTGTCCCTATCAGATCAATTTAAACCCCTCTCTCCCCCTGTCCCTGTCCCTATCAGATCAATTTAAACCCCTCTCTCTCCCCCTGTCCCTGTCAGATCAATTTAAACCCCTCTCTCCCCCTGTCCCTGTTCCTATCAGATCAATTTAAACCCCTCTCTCCCCCTGTCCCTGTCCCTGTCAGATCAATTTAAACCCCTCTCTCCCCCTGTCCCTATCAGATCAATTTAAACCCCTCTCTCCCCCTGTCCCTGTCCCTATCAGATCCAGCCAGTGAGTGGTCCGGTGGAAGGGGGTGTGCTGGTGACCATCCATGGGTCCAACCTGGGGATGCACTACCAAGACATCCAGGGAGGGGTGACCGTAGCTGGGGTCAGTTGTTTGCCTCAGCCCCATGGATACCTCATCTCTACCAGGTAATAACACTGTGTGTGTGTGTGTGTGTGTGTTAGTGTGTGTGTGTGTGTGTGTGTGTGTGTGTGTGTGTGTGTGTGTATGTGTGTGTGTGTGTGTGTGTGTGTGTGTGTGTGTGTGTGTGTGTGTGTGTGTGTGCCTGCGTGCGTGTGTGAAGCTAAAGTCCCCATTTACTATTTTTCCTGACTTCCCCACTTTTCACATAAACGTGTAGGATTGCTAACGTTTTCCTGCCGACGGTACTTAGCACCTCTGAACAGAGTGTCGGCAGTCAATCTCTTTTGTGTTCACACAGCAAAGACCTTGAAGTCGTCAGCCACTCAATCTTGTTAAAATATCCAAACCAGAAGGTGGCATTTTTCTGGGCATTGCATCTCCCTGTGTGTTCCTTTATGATCAGAGCTCTCCAACCCTAATCTAGTGCTCCCGATTCTAATAATTAGCTGGTTGAAAAGCTGAATCAGGTCAGTTACAACTGAGGTAGAAACGAAAACCTACAGGACAGGGTAGCTGTCCAGGAACAGGGTTGGAGAGCCCTGGTCTAGATAGCCAACGCCCTGATCTAGCTAGCTAGCTGTGCTAATTCTGCTGTTGTTGTAGAAAGCCGTTGTTGATACTAGCCAGATGACCACAGCTAGATAATTAGCTAGCAAGATGACGAATAAACTATGTAATTCACTCTCTATAATCGCATACAGCCCATAGATAGATTTTAGTTTGCTGGCCGAATGTTAGCTAAACAGTTAGCGTGATTCGCTATCTAGCTAGCCGTGTTAGCTAGGTAAAGATATTACATTGTCTCTCGGCTTGCTACGGGCAGCTGCTTGATGGAAACAAATCCATTGTGATTTAATTATAATGTTACTGGCTACAGTCGGTCATTGGCTTGGATGGGGCGTTTAGCGTTTTGTGCGTTGTGTGGGGCGGCAGGTAGCTTAGTGGGTAAGAGCGTTGTGCCAGTAACCGAAAGGTCGCTGGTTCTAATCCCCGAGCCGACTAGGTGAAAAATCTGTCGATGTGCCCTTAAGCAAGGCACTTAACCCTAATTGCTCCTGTAAGTCGCTCTGGATAAGAGCGTCTGCTAAAATGACTAAAATGTAAATGTAAAATGTGTCTGTGCACTTAGCTAGCTACCATGATCCTATACGTTGCATATGAAGTGTGACCCGCTCATTTAGCCAGCTGCAAAGGGGTTAATGTCACCGGGAAAAGTTCCCTCGTTTTTTCTACTTGTTGGTTGCTTTTCGGGCTCCCCGCTCGTGCTCTCTGATTGGCTCAGAGTAGAAATGTCTCTCTACCAAAAAAAAAACATTGTAAAGTGGTTATCCCACTGGCTATAAGGTGAATGCACCTATTTGTAAGTCGCTCTGGATAAGAGCGTCTGCTAAATGACGTAAATGTAATACCGATTCTCCATATAGAAATAGGAAAGAATGTCACAATTTAGTCCCAATAGCACACCGCAGCGAAGGAATGCCAGATAAACGTCAGACAGACCATCAGTCAGCGCGCTATCCCCTTAAGAGTCAGCTCTCTGTGATCCTCAGACCATCAGTCAGCGCGCTATCCCCTTAAGAGTCAGCTCTCTGTGACCCTCAGACCATCAGTCAGCGCGCTATCCCCTTAAGAGTCAGCTCTCTGTGACCCTCAGACCATCAGTCAGCGCGCTAGCCCCTTAAGAGTCAGCTCTCTATGACCCTCAGACCATCAGCCGGCGCGCTAGCCCCTTAAGAGTCAGCTCTCTATGACCCTCAGACCATCAGCCGGCGCGCTAGCCCCTTAAGAGTCAGCTCTCTGTGTGTTACAAGTCTTGTTTTTTCCGGTGTGTTCCAGGATAGTGTGTGAGTCTGTTTTTTCCGGTGTGTTCCAGGATAGTGTGTGAGCCTGTTTTTTCCGGTGTGTTCCAGGATAGTGTGTGAGTCTGTTTTTTCCGGTGTGTTCCAGGATAGTGTGTGAGCCTGTTTTTTCCGGTGTGTTCCAGGATAGTGTGTGAGCTCCTGCCCAGTAAACAGGAGACAGAGGGGCCAGTCATCGTTACCGTGGGAGACTCAGAACCTGGACAGTCACTGCAGACGTTCACCTATCAGGTAACGCTGCACCACACACACACACACACACACACACACACACACACACACACAGACACACACAGACACACACACACACACACACACCCAGACACACACCCACACACACAGACACAGACACACACACACACACACACACACACACACACACACACACCCAGACACACACCCACACACACACAGACACACAGACACACACACAGACAGACACACACACACACCCAGACACAGACACACACACACCCAGACACACACCCACACACACACACACACACACAGACACACACACACACACACTTTGAACTTGACTCATTCATTGACTTATTAACTGTGTTTGACCATGCTGAGGCCGAACGTCTGTTCAGGGCATTTCATTCTCTGTGTTATTGTGTGTGTATAGGACCCCCAGTTGACTGGTATAGTCCCTGATAAGGGTCCTGTATGAGGAGGGACCACCCTGACCGTCTAGAGTTATAGTTTGGGTTAGATACTACAGTATAACCATGTCTCTCTGTGTATAGGACCCCCAGTTGACTGGTATAGTCCCTGATAAGGGCCCTCTATCAGGAGGGACCACCCTGACCGTCCAGGGGACTCGGCTGCTAACGGGACAGAGGAAGGACCTGACTGCATACGTAGGACAACAACCCTGCTACATGTAATTACCTCTACTATAACTGCTTTCTCTCGCTGTCTCTCTCTCTCTGTTTTTTTTTTGTCTTTCTGTGTTCTCTCTGTTGTTTCTCCCCTTTTCCCTTTTCTCTATGTCGTTGTTGTTGTTTTCGTTTTTTTCTCTTTCTTGTTGTTGTCTGTTGTCTTCTCTCTCTCTTCTCTCGTTTTTCTGTTCTTCTTCTCTCCCCTCCTTTCTTGTTTGTTCTTTTTTCTGTCTTCTGTTTTTTTTTTGTTTGTCGTTGTCTGTTTCTTTCTCTTCTCTTTTGTTTCTTCTTTGTCTTGTCTCTGTCTCTCTTCTCTCCTGTTTGTTTTCTCTTCTTTTTTTTGTTTTCCTGTTCTCTCTCTCTTTCTCTCTTCTCTCTTTCTCTCTTCTCCTCTCTGTCTTCTCTCTCTTTCTCTCTCTCTTCCGCTCGCTTCGTCTCGCCTCTCTCTCTCTCTCTCTCTCTCTCTCTCTTCGTGTTCGTTTCAATTTCAATTCAATTACATATAAGGCTTTATTGACATGGGAAACGTAGTTTAAAAATTGCTAAAGAAAGGAAGTAGATAGTAAAAAAAAGGAAATAATACCCCCCCTTCTTTCTTTTCTCTGTCCCCTTTTCCCCCTTCCTCCCCTCCTCCCGCAGGGTTCCCCCCCAGAAACCCCAGACGACGCAGTAACAAAAATGATTCATCCTTCCTCCTTTTCTGCCCTCTCTTTGTCAGTTTAGGAGGTGAATTGGGGACTTCACTGGTATGCAGGACCCAGCCCCAGTAAACAGACGAGGCTGACAGTGCGGGGTTTTGTTTGGGAAGGCCCCAAAAGGGAGGGTCCCTGGGCGGTTTTCGCACATGGAGGACCCCGTCATCACCGCAGGTCCCCCTGCTGAGGTTCTAGCGTGAGTAACATTTCCCTTTAGCTTTTCCCCTTAAAGATTTAGATGGTTTACCCCCCGATCTACAACAGATAGTAGGAAATAAATAATGAAGTAGATCAAAAAACAGAATTTGTAGCCAGCGGGTTTTAGGCACGAGCTTGTAAGCCAAGGGTAGTGGGTTCGATCCCCGGGGCCACCAATACAAAAAAAAAAATTATGCAGCATGACTGTAATCGCTTTGGATAAAAAGGTCTGCTAAATGGCAATTTTATTATTATTATAGTAGGAATTATATATAATAAAATGATCAAAAAATTAAAAAAAAAAAACTTAAAAGAATGAATGATAATGTTTTTTTTCATCAAAAATTTTTTAGTAAGCAAAAGGGGGAAAAAAATTTCCTTTTTGTGTTTTCCTAGGGGGGGCGGCATAAAAAGGGGAGGGTTTGGGCGAACCCGAAAATGGTGCAGCAGCCAATGATCTCCGTGTGGGTGGAGCCGGTGGAGAACAGGCTGGTGAGGAAAAAAGGGGACTACGCCCGAATGCTAGTTTCAAAGACCCGCCAAAGGTAGAGCCCCATTTTATGCTAGTCTTTAACGCACCCCGCCTAGGTAGAGCCCAGATGGGTGCAGTCTTCAACGCACCCTGCCATAGGTAGAGCCCAGATTGATGCTAGTCTTAAAAAGCACCATGCCAAGGTAGAGCCCAGATTGGGCTGCTTCTTCAACAGCACCCTGCCAAAGGGAGAGCCCAGATTGACTGCTAGTCTTCAACAGCACCATGCCATAGGTAGGAAGCCCAGATTGAACTGCTAGTCTTCAACAGCACCATGCCAAAGGTAGAGCCCAGATTGACTGCTAGTCTTCAACAGCACCATGCCATAGGTAGAGCCCAGATTGACTGCTAGTCTTCAACAGCACCATGCCAAAGGTAGAGCCCAGATTGATCTAGTCTTCAACAGCACCATGCCAAGGTAGAGCCCAGATGACTGCTAGTCTTCAACAGCACCATGCCAAAGGTAGAGCCCAGATTGACTGCTGTCTTCAACAGCACCATGCCATAGGTAGAGCCCAGATTGACTGCTAGTCTTCAACAGCACCATGCCAAAGGTAGAGCCCAGATTGACTGCTAGTCTTCAACAGCACCATGCCAAAGGTAGAGCCCAGATTGACTGCTAGTCTTCAACAGCACCATGCCAAAGGTAGAGCCCAGATTGACTGCTAGTCTTCAACAGCACCATGCCAAAGGTAGAGCCCAGATTGACTGCTAGTTTTCAACAGCACCATGCCATAGGTAGAGCCCTGATTGACTGCTAGTCTTCAACAGCACCATGCCAAAGGTAGAGCCCAGATTGACTGCTAGTCTTCAACAGCACCATGCCAAAGGTAGAGCCCAGATTGACTGCTAGTCTTCAACAGCACCATGCCATAGGTAGAGCCCAGATTGACTGCTAGTCTTCAACAGCACCATGCCAAAGGTAGAGCCCAGATTGATACATGACAATTCAAATTCAATTCAAAGGGGCTTAATTTGCATAAGGAAACATTTTAACATTGCTAAAGCAAGTGAAATAAACAATCAGAAATTAACAGTAAACATTACACCATTTTTTCAAAATAATCCTATTACTATGTATTGTCATGTGGTATTTAAAATGGTGTATCACTGTCAGTAAGCCTTTACCTGCCAAAACAAGAGGACCACAATGGAAATAAGTTGTGTCATCCTGGAGGATTTTAAATGCAGTGTATCCACATGTGCAATTGGGTTTTTAAATTGTTAAAATGAATGAAATCAAACTCTAGTCATGGAATAGCTACTTGACTCCGTCATTTGGATACTGATTCAGAACCATTGACTTAAAAACAAATACCACACTTTCTCTCTCTCTCTCTCTCTTTCTCTCTCTCTCTCTCTCTCTCTCTCTCTCTCTCTCTCTCTCCTCATCGTGTCTCTCTCTCTCCCTCTATCTCTCTCTCCCCCCCACCCCCCTCTCTCTCTCTCTCTCCCTCCCCCTTCCCTCCCACCCACTCTCTCAGAAGCAGGAGCGTTGTACGGTGGTCTCGTCCTCTGAGATGACCTGTGTGACCCCGAGTGTGACCCCTGACTCCAAGGTCACGGGGGTGTGGTTTGAGCTGGACAACGTTAAGGTGGCGTTTGAGAGCGTCACGGGGAAGGCGTTCTCTTACTACCCCAACCCTGAGCTGTACGCTCTGAACAGAGACGACCCGGACACACCCTACCACTTCAAACCCGGAGGGGTCATCGCTGTGGAGGTGAGATACAATACCGCTGCTTCTCTGACTCCCACAGTAACCTGTTAGGGGTCAATCCTAAAGATTATTTTTTATAAAATACTGTATTTTTTGTCAGGTGGTCGTTTTAAATAAGAATATGTTGTTAATTGACAGACTTGTATAAAATACAATCAAATAGCGTGATGACTGACTAAACTGGGTAGGTATTGGTCCAGCCGAGGACCTTTGACCTCTGATGACTAATGGATGGATGTCTGTCTCTCTTCCAGGGTAAGGACCTGACGCGTGCCATGACCCGAGGGGAGGTGGTGGCCAGGTTGGGTGACCAGGAGTGTGAGGTCAAAACTCTGGACAGTACTCACCTGTACTGTGAACCACCTGAGAAACAGCCAGACAGTCTGGAGAGCAACGAACTGCCCAGCCTAAGGGTTTGTACACACACACACACACCGGGTCAGTACTGTATTGTGTTCTAGAGCTGCCAAGCCTTTGGGTTGGTATCTCCTAATAGTGTTGCAGTACTCGAGTCCACTTGAGGTTTAGTGACTTGACTACATCACTGCTTCCTACAGCATAGTTATTCTAGAGCACTGTTTCTCAACCGTCTCCACACCAGGAACTGGCATGCTATGATGCTATGATGCTATGATGCTATGATGCTATGATGCTATGATGCTATGATGCTATGATGCTATGATGCTATGATGCTATGATGCTATGATGCTATGATGCTATGATGCATGATGCTATGATGCTATGATGCTATTGCCTAATGCTACTGATCTATGCTGCTTATGCCACCCTCATGCTTGTGCTATGATGCTTTGATGCTATTGCCATGCTGCTATGACGCTATGATGCTATGATCATGACTATGATGCTATGCTTGCTAGATGCTATGATGCATGACAGAATGATGTGCTCTGAGTTATGCTCATGTGCTATGACTAATGAGGTTGACTCTATGATCTTTGTCCTCCCTCCCTCTCTCCTGCAATTTCCCTTTACCTCATCAAGCCTCCGACCCTCCCTACCGTGAACTTCTCTCGACCCCATCTGAACATCTAAACAATCAGGACAGAAATGAGCGAAAAATCTAGGTCAACAGAACACGGTATTCAAGAGGAAGAAAAGGGAAAGGGCCAAAAACAAAAAAGAAATGAAGAAGAATCCAATGAGTCGAGAGCGAAAAGAGATAAGACCGTGAATGCCAAAACAGAATTACAAAGAGAACGAAACAACGGGAAAAGAGAGACGCAGAAGACAATACACTGAAAGAACAAACTTATCCAAGAGGTAAGAAAGAAGGGAGAGCACCGGAAAAGACGACGAGAGATAAAGAGGAAAGGGGGGAAGTAAAGAGCGGGAAAGGAAGAGAACAGAAGGAACGCAGCCTGGAGAACCAGGGGAGTGGAAAGGGCGAGGGTGAAGAGAGGAAAGGAACAAACAGAAAGAGGGAAAGAAACAAAAAACAAAGAAACAAACAAAAAGCGAAGAAGAACAACCGACAGGCAAACCACGCAACATCCACACCGCACCACACGCACCCACCACCCACACCAATCCTCTCCCACCCCCCCCACCATCCACACCCCCACACCCACACACCCACTCCCACACCCTAGGGAATGGGCAAACTAATCCGGGTCATCACAGTCGATACAGAAGGCCCCCACCGTCCCCTGCACCAGGGGCAGGCAGCAGGGCTCGTGGTGGTCCTGGTGGCCCTGGTCATCATCCTCATACAGGTCAGCACACCACACACACACACACACACACACACACACCAACACACACACACACAAAACACATACAGCCCACAACACTAAACGAGAACACACCACCAACCACCAAACACACACACACACACACACCAAAAAACACCACACACAACTCACTCCTCAACAAACACAAAACAACACACAAAGACATAAAAATTCCTTAAATTGAATCAAATAAATGGTTCATCTTAACGATTGATCAACTCATGAAACTACAAATGATGCGTGAACCAAGAGCAAACACAACCAGACGGAAACAACGCACGAAACACAAAAGTCCTCAGCGAGACTCTGACTCACTGAACCATCAACACAGTAACATACTCACCATAACACACCTATCAATAACACTCCACAACATGACACCTAATCCCATCATCATCACTCACTGCCACCCATAACCACACACAACACACACAGCACACACACTCACTCACTCACTCACTCACACACACACTCACAAGGGCTATCTATATAAATTCCTTTATGTTTGATTTGATTGATTGATTGGTTGATTCTGTAACTGATTGATTAACTGATTGATTGATAGTAGATGATTGCGGTGAATCCAAGGTGAGGTATAGTCTCTGTGTGAACAGGAGGAAGAGCAAGCAGGCTCTGAGAGACTACAAGAAGGTCCTAGTCCAGCTGGAGACTCTGGAGATCAACGTGGGAGACCAGTGCAGGAAGGAGTTCACAGGTAAAGTACTGCACCTATCAACCTGCTTAGTTAAATAGAGTCTGTGTCTGAAATGGCACCCTAATCCCTATATAGTGCACTATTGGCAAGGGCCAATAGAACTCTGGTCTAGCTAGGGGACAGGGCGCCATTTGGGACACAGGAATGACTTGTTGCATATAACATTTATAAAGCTCCTGAGCCTCTGTAAAGACAGGATACATCTAGCTTCCTCTTCGCAAGGCCCAATAGAATCGTCTAGCTAGAGAGAAGGGAGAGGAAAGAGAAGAGTAATAATAAAGCGAAGCACACTGAAGACGGAGAATAGGCTTTCTACGGATCCCTATATACGAAACCCCAGCAATGCACGCCCTCCAGTCGGGCATCACCTCCCTAGTGCCTCTTATCTCGCTCCTTTCCTAGACCTACCCTTGCCGCCTGAACCCTATCGAGAAGAACGACCGAAGACTCTCTCTACTCTCCTACCTCTCATCTCCGAGCCGTACCCTCCTATCCTATCTCCTTCCTCTCCTCTCCCCTCTCTCTCCTCTCCTCTCCCCCCTCCAGATCTGATGACAGAGATGATGGATCTGAGTAGTGATGTGGGTGGACCAGGTATTCCTCTCCTGGACTATAAGACGTATGCAGAGCGTGTGTTCTTCCCTGGTCAGAGGGGGGCGCCACTGAGTCAGAACCTGGACCTGCCAGAGTCCCGCAGGCAGACGGTGGAACAGGGCCTGGGACAACTCAACAACCTCCTCAACAACAGACTGTTCCTTATCAGGGTGAGTAGACGGATGGACATACAGACACACAGACACACAGACACACAGACACACAGACACACAGACACACAGACAGACAGACAGACAGACAGACAGACAGACAGACAGAGACGGATGGAAGGAAGGGTAGGGAGACGGACAGTCTCGGTTTGTCTGGACAAATCTGGTGGGAAGTGAGCTGGCAACCAGAGGTTTGCTGGTATCAAATTCTAGTTGCCATCCCCTGCCGTTGCGCCCTTGAGCAAGGTACTTAACCCCTTCAAAAACTGTTCCAGGGTAGCCGTAAGATGGCTACCCACTGCTCCGACCTCTTGGAGGGATAAAGCAGAAGACACATTTCTGTTTTATTTATTTACATTGGACTTTAAAGGTATCTATTCTCCTACTCTTCCAGTTCATCCATACTCTGGAGGCCCAGCAGAACTTCTCCCAGCGGGACCGTGGCTACGTGGCGTCTCTCCTGACCATGGCTCTGCACGACAAGCTGGAGTACTTCACTGATGTCATGAAGACCTTACTGGGAGACCTGGTGCAGCAATACGTCGTCAAGAACCCCAAACTCATGCTGCGCAGGTGGGTCCTGGTACACTGGCAGTACGTGGCCAAGAACCCCAGTACCTGCCCAGGTGGGTCCTGGTACCTGCCCAGGTGGGTCCTGGTACCTGCCCAGGTGGGCCCTGCATGGTGGAAGTAGAGAAGAAGAGAAACTCACTCTGAGTCTATCAGAACCTCCAAACGGTGTAAACCATTCCATTATGAGACGGGGTGGAATCCAAACTTGTGCTGTATATTAATTGACTATGTCATAGCACATTTTTTAAGATAAATATTGATACATTACTAGCTCTAACACTTTTAATCTGCAAAAATTACAAATGAATTAGTGGGTGATTATGATTTCAGATCATAAGTGTGTGGGGGGGACAAAAAGCAAACCTTGCCCCCCCTAACTGATAGTGAGGTGGTAGATTCCCAGTTTCCCCCCTAACTGATAGTGAGGTGGTAGATTCCCAGTTTCCCCCCTAACTGATAGTGAGGTGGTAGATTCCCAGTTTCCCCCCTAACTGATAGTGAGGTGGTAGATTCCCAGTTTTCCCCCCCTAACTGATAGTGAGGTGGTAGATACCCAGTTTCCCCCCTAACTGATAGTGAGGTGGTAGATTACCAGTTTCCCCCCTAACTGATAGTGAGGTGGTAGATTCCCAGTTCCCCCCCTAACTGATAGTGAGGTGGTAGATTCCCAGTTTCCCCCCTAACTGATAGTGAGGTGGTAGATTCCCAGTTTCCCCCCTAACTGATAGTGAGGTGGTAGATTCCCAGTTTCCCCCCTAACTGATAGTGAGGTGGTAGATTCCCAGTTTCCCCCCTAACTGATAGTGAGGTGGTAGATTCCCAGTTTTCCCCCCTAACTGATAGTGAGTGGTAGATTTCCAGTTTCCCCCCTAACTGATAGTGAGGTGGTAGATTTCCCAGTTTCCCCCCTAACTGATAGTGAGGTGGTAGATTCCCAGTTTCCCCCCCTAACTGATAGTGAGGTGGTAGATTCCCAGTTTCCCCCCTAACTGATAGTGAGGTGGTAGATTCCCAGTTTCCCCCCTAACTGATAGTGAGGTGGTAGATTCCCAGTTTCCCCCCTAACTGATAGTGAGGTGGTAGATTCCCAGTTTCCCTTACAGCTCAGCAGCCTACATACACCTTATACATTGTTTACACACACAGTCGGTCAGCTCAGAGATGCCCAGTTCAGACAGATCCAGCTCAGAGAGATCCAGATCAGACAGATCCAGCTCAGACAGATCCAGCTCAGACAGATCCAGCTCAGACAGATCCAGCTCAGACAGATCCAGCTCAGAGATGCCCAGTTCAGACAGATCCAGCTCAGAGATGCCCAGTTCAGACAGATCCAGCTCAGACAGATCCAGCTCAGACAGATCCAGCTCAGACAGATCCAGCTCAGAGATGCCCAGTTCAGACAGATCCAGCTCAGACAGATCCAGCTCAGACAGATCCAGCTCAGACAGATCCAGCTCAGACAGATCCAGTTCAGACAGATCCAGCTCAGACAGATCCAGCTCAGACAGATCCAGTTCAGACAGATCCAGCTCAGACAGATCCAGCTCAGACAGATCCAGTTCAGACAGATCCAGTTCAGACAGATCCAGCTCAGACAGATCCAGCTCAGACAGATCCAGTTCAGACAGATCCAGTTCAGACAGATCCAGTTCAGACAGATCCAGCTCAGACAGATCCAGCTCAGACAGATCCAGCTCAGACAGATCCAGTTCAGACAGATCCAGCTCAGACAGATCCAGTTCAGACAGATCCAGTTCAGACAGATCCAGCTCAGACAGATCCAGGTCAGGAGCTCCATCAGCAGCAGATTTTAATTTAGAAATGGAAAATGAATTTACTTATGCAATAAATGTGCATCGATTCGTTCCTCTAATCAAACCGAATAGAACTGAATTGCTTCAAACTTAAAGGGAAAGATGCACATCCCTCCTACCCTCGTCAGCCAGAATAATATGGTCCACCATGATTTACAACTTCTCTGTCTGTCTGTCAGGACTGAGACTGTTGTGGAGAAGATGCTGACCAACTGGATGTCCATCTGTCTCTACTCCTTCCTCAAGGTACAGCTGTGTGTGTGTGTGTGTGTGTGTGTGTGTGTGTGTGTGTGTGTGTGTGTGTGTGTGCGTGTGTGTGTGTGTGTGTGCGTGCGTGCGGAGCTAAATGTCCCAATTTTTTTGGCTGACTTCCCCATTTTTCACATAAACGTGTATATCTGACTGTCATACTGTGTACCCCTCTAGGAGGTGGCTGGGGAGCCCCTGTATATGCTGTACAGAGCCATCAAGTACCAGGTGGATAAGGGACCCATAGACGCTGTGACGGGGAAAGCCAAGCGCACCCTGAACGACAGCCATCTACTGAGAGAGGACATCGACTACTGCTCTATCGTACGTCTTAGCCAAGCTCTCTCTCTCTCTCCCTCTCTCTACTCTCTCTACTCTCTCTCCCTCTCTCTACTCTCTCTCCCTCTCTCTACTCTCTCTCCCTCTCTATATTCTCTCTCCTCTCTCTCTCCCTCTCTCTATACGTTCTCTCTCTCTACTCTCCCTCTCTCTCTCCCGTTACTCTCTCTCTGTAATGCTTTGCAGGCTTTTTCTTTTATTTCATTCACAGCCAGTCCAAATCCACCAGATGCACAGATTTTTAGTCCCTGGGCATCTTCAACCATGGTATTTCCTAAATTGGAGGAGTGTCTGCTGCTGTGATTCCTGGCCTTTTTCTGGAAAATCACAACTTTGGTTTTCTGAAAGTTTATGTTGATTACCCAGTTGATGCTGTATTCCTAAATAATGTTAAGTTGTTCCTGGAGACCTTGCTGTGTTGGTGACCGTAGAACAAGGTCCTCTGGGTAGAGCAGGAATCTGACCTCCTCATCTTGGTGACAGTAGAACAAGGTCCTCTGGGTAGAGCAGGAATCTGACCTCCTCATCTTGGTGACAGCAGGACAAGGTCCTCTGGGTAGAGCAGGAATCTGACCTCCTCATCTTGGTGACAGCAGGACAAGGTCCTCTGGGTAGAGCAGGAATCTGACCTCCTCATCTTGGTGACAGCAGGACAAGGTCCTCTGGGTAGAGCAGGAATCTGACCTCCTCATCTTGGTGACAGCAGGACAAGGTCCTCTGGGTAGAGCAGGAATCTGACCTCCTCATCTTGGTGACAGCAGGACAAGGTCCTCTGGGTAGAGCAGGAATCTGACCTCCTCATCTTTGAGGGTGAGTCCAAGGGGCTGCAGATCGGTCCAACAACACTGATAGTTTGTTGACGTAGACGTTGAACAGGGTTGGACTTACACTGCACCCTTGTCTCACCCCTCGCCCTTGTGCAAAAAACGATGTTCTTTTACCGTTCAGTTTAATACTACATGTGTTGTTCGAGTAAATAGATTTGATGATGTCGTACACTTTACCCCCAACGCCACTTTAGAGGGTTTTGTAATATAATCCAGCAGGCCATATGGAATCAAAAGCATTCTTAAAATCAACAAAACATGCAAATACTTTCCCTCTGCTTTTCTGATGAACACGCTTGTTTATTAGTTTGTGTAATGTGTGTAGGTGGTCTGTTGTTCTGTGTTTGGGTAGAAAGCCAATTGGTTTTTTTGCTGAGAGTGTTATGTTGTGTGAGGAAGGTCTGTATTCGGTCATTGAGAATACAGCAGAACAGTTTCCCCATATTACTGGTGACACATATTCCCCTACAGTTATTAGGGTCTAATTTGTCACCTTTATATATATATGGGGGTTATGAGCCCCTGGTTCCAAATACACAAAAAACGTATGTGGACACCTGCTCGTCGAACATCTCATTCTAAAATCATGGGCATTAATATGGAGTTGGTCAAGTTCTTCCACACCGATCTCGACAAACCATTTCTGTGTGGACCTCGATTTGTGCACCGGGGCATTATCATTCTGAAACAGGAAAGGGCCTTCCCCAAACTGTTGCCACAAAGTTGGAAGCACAGAATCATCTAGAATGTAATTGTATGCTGTAGCGTTAAGATTTCCCTTCACTGGAACTAAGGGGCCTAACCCGAACCATGAAAAACAGCCCCAGACCATTATTCCTCCTCCACCAAACTTTACAGTTGGCACTATGCATTCGGGCAAGTAACGTTTTCCTGGCATCCGCCAAACCCAGATTTGTCCGTCGGACTGCCAGATGGTGAAGCGTGATTCATCACTCCAGAGGACGCGTTTCCACTGCTCCAGAGTCCAATGGCGGCGAGCTTTACACCACTCCAGCCGACGCTTGGCATTGCGCATGGTGATCTTAGGCTTGTGTGCGGCTGCTCGGCCATGGAAACCCATTTCATGAAGCTCCCGACTAACAGTTCTTGTGCTGACGTTGCTTCCTGAGGCAGTTTGGAACTCGGTAGTGAGTGTTGCAACCGCGCTTCAGCCCGCGGCAGTCCTGTTCTGTGAGCTTGTGTGGCCTACCACTTCGCGGCTGAGCCGTTGTTGCTCCTAGATGTTTCCACTTCACAATAACAGAACTTACAGTTGACCGGGGCATCTCTAGCAGGCCAGAAAGTTGACGAACTGACTTGTTGGAAAGGTGGCATCCTGGGGGGGGGGGGGGGGGAGTTAGAGGAGCCCCTGGTGGGGCCAGGGTTGGGCTGAGGGCTCCGGCTCGAAATGGACAACAGCCATCAACCATTATTATGGGAAGCTCCGTGGTTCGATTGGTGGAAGTCCGAAATACCCGTACACTTTGTTTTCCTGGAGCTAGGGGTATTGGAGTTATCAGAAGTCATGCCCACCATCAAGAAACAGATTCCTGCTCTGAAAACAGTTGTGTTGCATATTGGATCTAATGATATGTGTATGAAATGTGTAAACCTAAGAGACTATTTCTTACAGCTCTTGGAGAAATTATCAGAACATATAATTGTCTCGGCCCCAATTCCATCTCCTCGCCGTTGTGAGACTGAGTGTTTTAGGCGTCTTTGGTCTCTTCACCAGTGGTTAATGCGTCTGACCAAGGACTTGGGCATGTCCTTCGTCGACAAGTTTGACTCCTTCTGGAATAGGCCTGGCTACTTTGTGGAAGACACAATTCACCTGGGTGAAAATGGCTCCCGGCTGTTGTCATCAAACATTGGAAAGGTTCTTGGTCAACTAAACTGATGTGAGGACAATATTAGCATTACATGTAAGTCAGTTTTTACCATCTCCTCTTTGGTCACTGTGAGAGTTCCACATGTTGTATCTGAAAGTGGTGACATGGCTAATGGTGCTAACCAGAGATGTATCTGAAAGTGGTGACATGGCTAATGGTGCTAACCAGAGATGTATCTGAAAGTGGTGATATGGCTAATGGTGCTAACCAGGAGATGTATCTGAAAGGGGTGACATGGCTAATGATGCTAACCAGAGATGTATCTGAAAGGGGTGATATGGCTAATGGCGCTAACCAGAGATGTATCTGAAAGTGGTGACATGCCTAATGGTGCTAACCAGAGATGTATCTGAAAGTGGTGACATGGCTAATGGTGCTAACCAGAGATGTATCTGAAAGTGGTGACATGGCTAATGGTGCTAACCAGAGATGTATCTGAAAGGGGTGACATGGCTAATGGTGCTAACCAGAGATGTATCTGAAAGTGGTGACATGGCTAATGATGCTAACCAGAGATGTATCTGAAAGGGGTGACATGGCTAATGATGCTAACCAGAGATGTATCTGAAAGGGGAGACATGCCTAATGGTGTAATTGCTATCCCTACTTTGTTTTCTTTTCCTTCTCCTGTTATTCTGAAATCACAAAGTAATCTGACTTGTACTGAAACTCTGTGTGATTTTAAATACAGAGAAGGTTCTTAACATTTAACATTTGTAGTTTATTACCTAAAATGGATCATGTCAAGATCTGGGCCTGTCGGGCAGACCATGATATTTTTATTGTATCTGAAACCTGGTTAATAACTGATAAAAACCCTGGACTCTGAGGTTGCTATGGATGGTTACTATGTGTTTAGGGCTGATGGGAAAGGTTAAGGTGGTGGTGTTGCTATTTACACAAAGACTCTTCTGTCTGTGTCTCTGTTAAAGGCTACCTCCAGTCCTCAACTATTTGAACTGTTGGCTTTAAGTCTTCAGTCGGGTTCTAACTCATAAATAACAGTTATAGGAGGAATCTATCATCTATCTACCTTCCACCAGGAAGTGTGTACTAAACGAACTCACTGATTTAAGTGCCATTTTTACTACCCCATGAGGTGTTGATCGCTGGATGCTGACTGTTTAAATGATTTTTGTACTCCCTGTTTAAATAAAGGTAAAATAAAAAATAAAATGTCCATCAATGGAGTCTTCAATCGCTTTCAGTGTTCTCAAAATGCTTAAGTTTCTCTCTCTCTCTACTCTCTCTCGCTCTCTCTCTCTCTCTCTCTCTCTCTCTCTCTCTACTCAATTCAACTTAAGGGCTTTATTGGCATGGGAAACGTATGTTAACATTGCCAAAGCAAGTGAAGTAGATAATAAACAAAAGTGAAATAAACAATAAATATTAACAGTAAACATTACACTCAGAAGTTCCAAAATAATAAAGACATTTCAAATGTCATATTATGTCTATATACAGTGTTGTAACAATGTGCAAATAGTTAAAGTACAAATGGGAAAATAAATAAATGTAAATATGGGTTGTATTTACAATGGTGTTTGTTCTTCACTGGTTGCCCTTTTCTTGTGGCAACAGGTCACAAATCTTGCTGCTGTGATGGCACACTGTGGTTTTTCACCCAGTAGATAAGGGAGTTTATCAAAATTGGGTTTGTTTTCGAATTCTTTGTGGGTCTGTGTAATCTGAGGGAAATATGTGTCTCTAATATGGTCATACATTTGGCAGGAGGTTAGGAAGTGCAGCTCAGTTTCCACCTCATTTTGTGGGCAGTGTGCACATAGCCTGTCTTCTCTTGAGAGCCAGGTCTGCCTACGGCGGCCTTTCTCAATAGCAAGGCTATGCTCACTGAGTCTGTACATAGTCAAAGCTTTCCTTAAGTTTGGGTCAGTCACAGTGGTCAGGTATTCTGCCACTGTGTACTCTCTGTTTAGGGCCAAATAGCATTCTAGTTTTCTAGAATTCTTTCCAATGTGTCAAGTAATTATCTTTTTGTTTTCTCATGATTTGGTTGGGTCTAATTGTGTTGTTGTCCTGGGGCTCTGTGGGGTCTGTTTGGGTTTGTGAACAGAGCCCCAGGACCATTAGCGGGTATCGGCACTGCATGCATTATTTTGTGTTTTTTGTTGTACACGGAGGATATTTTTGCTGATTTCTGCATGCAGAGTCTCAATTTGGTGTTTGTCCCATTTTGTGAATTCTTGGTTGGTGAGCGGACCCCAGACCTCACAACCATAAAGGGCAATGGGTTCTATAACTGATTCAAGTATTTTTAGCCAGATCCTAATTGGTATGTCAAATTTTATGTTCCTTTTGATGGCATAGAAGGCCCTTCTTGCCTTGTCTCTCAGATCGTTCACAGCTTTGTGGAAGTTACCTGTGGCGTTGATGTTTAGGCCGAGGTATGTATAGTTTTTTGTGTGCTCTAGGGCAACGGTGTCTAGATGGAATTTCTATTTGTGGTCCTGGCAACTGGACCTTATTTGGAACACCATTATTTTTGTCTTACTGAGATTTACTGTCAGGGCCCAGGTCTGACAGAATCTGTGCAGAAGATCTAGGTGCTGCTGTAGGCCTCCTTGGTTGGGGACAGAAGCACCAGATCATAAAGAGAACAGTATACATTTGACTTGTCCAGATTCTAGTAGGGTGAGGCCGTGGTTGCTGCAGACTGTTTCTAGTGTAATCGACCCAATTATACTCTCTCTCTACTTTCCTCTATACTTTCTCTCTTCTCTAACATTTCTCCATCCTCTCTAATTTATCTAAAGAAGCAGACTGAGCGCAAGACACGGAAGAGATGGGAACTATATGGAGAAGAGGTACATAATATGAGTATGCTATAGGCAGAATTATATAGTATATATATACGTGTATATATATATGTATATAATACTAATATGTATATATAATCGTTTATATATATGTATATATATATTACTTGTATAGCTATTATCTATTATATAATATAATATGTTATTATATAATATGTATAATCTCATATATATGCTACTATTCCTAATATATATAGTATAATGATAATATACATAATAGTATTATATCTCTATACTCTCTATAATATGTATATATCTATACCTTGATATTACTAACTAGCTCTCTATACTCTGTATCTATCTACATATGTATATATATCCCTATGTACTATATATATATATTGTTCATTATAATCTGTACTATTTCTACTATGGTATCAGCGCATCGTATACTACATACTATGTATAATAGATATGATCGATAGTCTAAAGATGCATATATAATATGTATATATCTCAATAAGTCTTAGGAGATTCATATATCTTGTATCTGATTATTACCTATCTTTATGCTACTGTCTATCTCTATCTCTGTTACTCTCTACTCTGTCTCTCTCTTCCTTGTCTACTCTCTCTGTCTCTATCTCCTCTGTCTCTCTCTCTCCTCTGTCTCTCTCTCCTCTGTCTCTCTCTCCTCTGTCTCTCTCTCTCCTCTGTCTCTCTCTCTCCTCTGTCTCTATCTCTCCTCTGTCTACTCTCCCAGACTACTCTTCCGCTCTCTTCTCTCTACTGTTTACTACCCTGATGTATAATGGTTTTTCAGCCTGCCTTAGTTCCTTGGTTTGTGTGTTGACATCGTCCTTCCCCCCTCTCTCCTCTGGTCAGACTCTGACGGTGATGGTGAAGAGTGGTGTGGAGGTGCAGCCATGTCCGGTCAAGGTGTTGGACACAGACACAATCACACAGGTCAAAGACAAGATCCTAGAACCAGATCTATAAAGGAGCTCCCTTCTCACAGAGACCTTCTGCAGACTCACTAGATCTGGGTAAGGAATAGTGAATACGTATCTTTTGCTCTTGTTGACTCAATGAATAAAATAGCAGAGAATAACTTAGAAAATCTATTTTTGACCCTCTACTAATGAATGTGATGTTTGAACACACAACACACCAGTTCTGACCGAAGTGGTTTCAAGAAACTTGTGTAAGGAATAATGAACCCATTTTGTTTGTAAAGCACCTTTCATACAACGTTTTGCAGCCCAAAGTGCAAACAGATATTTATTTGAACCACAATCTACCCGAGTAAATTTGCATGAGACCTGACTTGCGTTAGCTAACACAGTCTTGTAGCATTCAGACAACCCGGGTCAACCCAGTCTTGTAGCATTCAGAAAACAAATATGAGTTGTCTCGTCAGAATGGCGATCGGGACAGGCGGGTCACCTGACACTGTCAGACGATGACGTCACAGCGATTATCCAGGGGCGCTGGAAGAAACTCAACACTCTGCAGCACTATAAGGTAAGAGTTATACACACAGAGACCACCACTACACACAGAGACCACTACTACACACAGAGACCACTACTACACACAGAGACCACTACTACACACAGAGACCACCACTACACACAGAGACCACCACTACACACAGAGACCACTACTACACACAGAGACCACCACTACACACAGAGACCACTACTACACACAGAGACCACCACTACACACAGAGACCACTATAGAACCACTACTACACACAGAGACCACCACTACACACAGAGACCACCACTACACACAGAGACCACTACTACATACAGAGACCACTACTACACACAGAGACCACTACTACACACAGAGACCACTACTACACACAGAGACCACCACTACACACAGAGACCACTATAGAACCACTACTACACACAGAGACCACTATAGAACCACTACTACACACAGAGACCACTACTACACACAGAGACCACCACTACACACAGAGACCACCACTACACACAGAGACCAGACACAGAGACCACTACTACACACAGAGACCACTACTACACACAGAGACCACTACTACACACAGAGACCACTACTACACACAGAGACCACCACTACACACAGAGACCACTATAGAACCACTACTACACACAGAGACCACTATAGAACCACTACTACACACAGAGACCACTACTACACACAGAGACCACTACTACACACAGAGACCACTACTACACACAGAGACCACGATAGAACCACCACTACACACAGAGACCACTATAGAACCACCACTACACACAGAGACCACTATAGAACCACTACTACACACAGAGACCACTATAAAACCACTACTAAACACAGAGACCACTATAGAACCACTACTACACACAGAGACCACTATAAAACCACCACTACACACAGAGACCACTTTCCAACCACTACTACACACAGAGACCACCACTACACACAGAGACCACTATAGAACCACTACTACACACAGAGACCACCACTACACACAGAGACCACTATAGAACCACCACTACACACAGAGACCACTATAGAACCACTACTACACACAGAGACCACTATAGAACCACTACTGCACACAGAGACCACTATAGAACCACTACTACACACAGAGACCACTATAGAACCACTACTACACACAGATACCACTATAGAACCACTACTGCACACAGAGACCACTATAGAACCACCACTACACACAGAGACCACTATAGAACCACCACTACACACAGAGACCACTATACAACCACTACTACACACAGAGACCACTATAGAACCACTACTACACACAGAGACCACTATAGAACCACCACTACACACAGAGACCACTATAGAACAACCACTACACACAGAGACCACCACTACACACAGAGACCACTATAGAACCACCACTACACACAGAGACCACTATAGAACCACTACTACACACAGAGACCACTATAGAACCACCACTACACACAGAGACCACTATAGAACCACCACTGCACACAGAGACCACTATAGAACCACCACTGCACACATAGACCACTATAGAACCACCACTACACACAGAGACCACTATAGAACCACCACTACACACAGAGACCACTATAGAACCACCACTACACACAGAGACCACTATAGAACCACCACTGCACACATAGACCACTATAGAACCACCACTACACACAGAGACCACCACTGCACACAGAGACCACTATACAACCACCACTACACACAGAGACCACTATAGAACCACTACTGCACACAGAGACCACTATAGAACCACCACTACACACAGAGACCACTATAGAACCACTACTACACACAGAGACCACTATAGAACCACCACTGCACACAGAGACCACTATAGAACCACCACTGCACACAGAGACCACTATAGAACCACTACTACACACAGAGACCACTATAGAACCACCACTACACACAGAGACCACTATAGAACCACTACTACACACAGAGACCACTATAGAACCACTACTACACACAGAGACCACTATAGAACCACCACTACACACAGATACCACTATAGAACCACCACTGCACACAGAGACCACTATAGAACCACCACTACACACAGAGACCACTATAGAATCACCACTACACACAGAGACCACTATAGAACCACCACTACACACAGAGACCACTATAGAACCACTACTGCACACAGAGACCACTATAGAACCACTACTACACACAGAGACCACTACTACACACAGAGACCACTACTACACACAGAGACCACCACTACACACAGAGACCACTACTACACACAGAGACCACTATAGAACCACCACTACACACAGAGACCACTATAGAACCACTACTACACACAGAGACCACTATAAAACCACTACTAAACACAGAGACCACTATAGAACCACTACTACACACAGAGACCACTATAAAACCACCACTACACACAGAGACCACTTTCCAACCACTACTACACACAGAGACCACCACTACACACAGAGACCACTATAGAACCACTACTACACACAGAGACCACCACTACACACAGAGACCACTATAGAACCACCACTACACACAGAGACCACTATAGAACCACTACTACACACAGAGACCACTATAGAACCACTACTGCACACAGAGACCACTATAGAACCACTACTACACACAGAGACCACTATAGAACCACTACTACACACAGAGACCACTATAGAACCACTACTGCACACAGAGACCACTATAGAACCACCACTACACACAGAGACCACTATAGAACCACCACTACACACAGAGACCACTATACAACCACTACTACACACAGAGACCACTATAGAACCACTACTACACACAGAGACCACTATAGAACCACCACTACACACAGAGACCACTATAGAACAACCACTACACACAGAGACCACCACTACACACAGAGACCACTATAGAACCACCACTACACACAGAGACCACTATAGAACCACTACTACACACAGAGACCACTATAGAACCACCACTACACACCAGAGACCACTATAGAAACCACCACTACACACAGAGACCACTATATAGAACCACCACTGCACACATAGACCACTATAGAACCACCACTACACACAGAGACCACTATAGAACCACCACTACACACAGAGACCACTATAGAACCACCACTACACACAGAGACCACTATAGAACCACCACTGCACACATAGACCACTATAGAACCACCACTACACACAGAGACCACCCACTGCACACAGAGACCACTATACAACCACCACTACACACAGAGACCACTATAGAACCACTACTGCACACAGAGACCACTATAGAACCCACCACTACACACAGAGACCACTATAGAACCACTACTACACACAGAGACCACTATAGAACCACCACTGCACACAGAGACCAATATAGAACCACCACTGCACACAAAGACCACTATAGAACCACTACTACACACAGAGACCACTATAGAACCACCACTTACACACAGCGACCACTATAGAACCACTACTACACACAGAGACCACTATAGAACCACTACTACACACAGAGACCACTATAGAACCACCACTACCACACAGATACCACTATAGAACCACCACTGCACACAGAGACCACTATAGAACCACCACTACACACAGAGACCACTATCGAAATCACCCACTACACACAGAGACCACTATAGAACCACTACTGCACACAGAGACCACTATAGAACCACTACTACACACAGAGACCACTACTACACACAGAGACCACTATAGAACCACCACTACACACAGAGACCACTATAGAACCACCACTACACACAGAGACCACTATAAAACCACTACTACACACAGAGACCACTACTACACACAGAGACCACTATAGAACCACCACTACACACAGAGACCACTATATAACCACTACTACACACAGAGACCACTACTACACACAGAGACTACTATAGAACCACCACTACACACAGGAGACACTATAGAACCACCACTACACACAGAGACCACTATAGAACCACTACTGCACACAGAGACCACTATAGAACCACCACTACACACAGAGGACCACTATAGAACCACCACTGCACACAGAGGACCACTATAGAACCAACCACTACACACAGGAGACCACTATAGAACCAACTACTGCACACAGAGACCACTATAGAAACCACTACTACACACAGAGAACACTATAGAACCACCACTGCACACAGAGACCACTATAGAACCACCACTGCACACAGAGACCACTATAGAACCCACTACTACACACAGAGACCACTATAGAACCACCACTACACACAGAGACACACTATAGAACCACTACTACACACAGAGACCACTATAGAACCACTACTACACACAGAGACCACTATAGAACCACCACTACACACAGATACCACTATAGAACCACCACTGCACACAGAAACCACTATAGAACCACCACTACACACAGAGACCACTATAGAATCACCACTACACACAGAGACCACATAGAACCACCCACTACACACAGAGACCACTATAAACCACTACTACACACAGAGACCACTATAGAACCACTACTACACACAGAGACCACTACTACACACCAGAGACCACTACTACACACAGAGACCACACCACTACCACACATAGACCACTACTACACACAGAGACCACTATAGAACCACCACTACACACAGAGACCACTATAGAAACCACTACTACACCAGAGACCACTATAGAACACCACTATACACACAGAGACCACTATAGAACCACCACTACACACAGAGACCACTATACAACCACCACTACACACAGAGACCACTATAAACCACTACTACACACAAGACCACTCACATACACACAGAGACCACTATAGAACCACTACACACAGAGACCACCACTACACACAGATGACCACTACTAGAACAGACCACTAACACACAGAGACCACTATAGAACCACACTACACACAGAGACCACTATAGAACCACTACTGCACACAGAGACCACTATAGAACCACATCTACA